GGGGGGTAAAATCTATTTAGACTTATCCGACCTTATTAGCCTTTTGCTAAAAAACGCTTTATAAAGTTTTGAGTAGGCTCAACTTGACATTAACCTCGATTTTTCTTTTCTTTTTCAGGTGGAACCAATTTGTTCTCTATTTTTTAGATTGGGTCAATCCGATTTTGCCATTCAATCAGGTATCGGTGGCTTGAGTTTGTAGCTCTACTCTATGTACAACTATCGTATGATATTAGCATTAATATGGAAACGTACAACTATAAAAACAAATGAAAAACATTTCTCCCGTGCAAAAACAGAATCTCGTGACCCCTTTTATTCCCGTGGCGTTTTCCTGTTTTCTCTATGTTTTTTCCCAATAAAAAACATTGTAACCACCAAATAGCAAATACCAATCAATCACCAAACACCGAAAAAAATGACATCTTAGCTACTAAGGCTGTAATCCATTTAAGTTTTCATCATTATTAAAAATCTAAAAATACCCCTAAATCTCATTTTCCACCTCACTTGTTTCCCTCAACATCTATTTTTTTTTTTAAAAAATAGTAAATTATAACATATTTTATATAATAGGTAAATTATAATAAAGTCCACCGTGGGCGGGACTGAGAGTCGACTCCGGCAACCGAAGACCATTTTTCTGGTAACTTGTAACTGTTTTCTAACGACTGGTGATCGTTTTCTGGTGATTGTGTTTCTAGTGACATTTTAACACTGTGTTTACCAGTAAATACAATATTTACCATTTAATACTATATTTACTAGTAAATACCATATTTACTCGAAAAGCTGACTACCGACTTAGGCGACCGTTTAACACTGTATTTACAGATAAATATCAATTTACCAATAAATACCGTATTTACTAGTCAATATCATATTTATCCAAAAATTCAACCACCGATTTCGCCGAGCGTTTAATTTATTTGAAAATTCGACTACTGACTTCGACAACCGTTTCACACTGTATTTACCGATAAATATCGTATTTATTAATAAATATCATATTTATTTAAAAATCCCGCCACCGACTCTGACAGTTATTAAACATTATATTTACCAATAATAAATACAATATTTATTGATAAATATAATAAATTCCAAATTACAACTATTAAAATATTTATTAATAAATACAATATTTATCAATATTTAAAATTATAATTAATAAAATAACATTTACCCATTTTAAATCGATAACTATTCAGAAATATACAATGACCCGTTCATTTCGCTATTCGAGTTTAGAATTTAAATTTTGTTACAGTAAAAAACTCTCACAAATAATTACATATAATTTTTTTGCTATAATAAAAAGTACTCACATAAAATTATATTTCAACTCAAATTAAAAATTCAAATTAATAAACTAAACAGGTCTAATATTTTTTAATTATATACAGCATTTACCGTATTCAATCTCAGACCTTGTTCACTTCGCTGATTCGAATTTAGAATTTGAGTTGATATGTGATTTTATATGAGAACTTTTTACTGTAATAAAAAAATTAAATGTGATTTTTTGTGAGAACTTTTTACTGTAAAAAAACTCAAATTTTAAATTCAAATGAGCGAAGTGAACGGGCCTCAATAACCTTTAGTTCACCAAATTCCAAACACAAACGCAGACAAAATACAAAACCAAATTTCACAAAAATTCCGCGAATTGTCGAAATTATCAGTCACAAATTCAGACCTAAAAAAAGTACAAATCACACCATCGATCTGCAAAAAGTCGTCGTCCATGACCTCGCCGGCGCCATGATGCGACTAGATCCGACACCACTCCGAAATCCAACGCCACAGTAAACCTCCGACCAAAGCAGATTGCGACGGATCTGGTTTGCGAAGCCGGTGACGGATCTGGTTCAGTCGTCGCTATGACGGCGACGCGAGATCTCAGGCCGGAATCTAGGGGAGAGAGAGAGATCGGGCTGAGGAGAAAGAGAGATATCGGACTGAGGAGAGAGAGATCGGAGCTGAGCTCCGTCGCGATCTGAACCAGTCGCGAGTCGCCTCACCGGAACCAGTCACCGGAAAGTTGGACCAGACGCGATCTGAGCAGATAATCGTCGCCATCTGAACCAGTCACCGGATCTTGGAACAGACGCGATCTCCTCACCGGAAAGTTGGAGCAACGTGGCAATCTCCTCTCGTTCTCCACCGTGCGACTCGAGTGGCAAGACCCCTTGTCCGTCAACGGTGACGGCAGCCGGGAGGAGAACCGGCAGAGGAGAGAGAGAGATAATCTGAGAGAGAGATCGAGGAAGAGGGGGAGAGAGAATGCTAAGTTAAGACTTAAGACCGTTCATTTTACCATTCTCGAGTTTAAAATTTTATTTTACTATTTAAATTTAAAATTTATTACAAATTTTTTTTTTTAAAAATAATCACATTAAATTTTTTTACTATAATAAAAAAAATTTTATATAAAATTACATCTTAATTTAAATTAACGATCTAAACGGATCATAAAATTTAGTATTTGAGATTATGTGACGTTTGATTTATGAGTTTAAAATCATAAATTATGATTTTAATTTTTGAAATTTAAATTTTATGTGAGAGAAAAATACTGTAACAGAATTCAGAATTATGATATTAAATCAGACAAAACTCTTAAAACAAACGTCATTTAGATATGAAAAAGAGTAAAATTAAAAATAAAATCTCGTTTATTTCACAAATTTGAATTTATAATTTAAGTTTTGTTATAATAAAAAACTCTAAAAAACAGTTACATATCAACTCAAATTAAAACTTGAATTAATAAATTAAACGGGCTTAAAAATATCTACTTAAAAAGTAAAATGAGAACGTGTTATAATTTTTTATGATTTAGAAAATATGTTATTTAATTCAAATATAGATTTGAAATATGCTTATATGATGCATTTTCCATTCATTTTTTAAGCCCATGTTACTGGCCATGCTCTCGCACTCGAGAAAGTGGGTCAATTTGCATAAGTTAGGATTGACAATTCAGGTAACGACACGACGATACGATTTAAAATCTGTAAAAAATTAGTAAATTTAGATTTATTATAAATGAGTTTGGGTCAAAATTAGATTGACACGATTAATACGATTAATAAATAGATTTGGTTAAAGTTGATCTCTTAACATGAAGTTACACGATTATTTATATGTGTCATCTGCAATATAATGATATATATAACATGAAAGTTTAAATACAAATAATGAGAATTTTAATATTTGTAAGTTAAATTCATTTATTATTTTTAAAGGAAAAAATAAATTGACTAATAAATATGTTAAACATGTATTGATCGTGTTAAATAAATTATTATTTTATTAATAAATTATTTAATTTATTAATTTAAACGGGTTATACGGATTGACACAATTAAGATGATTAATAAATAAATCATGTTTAAATTGATATTTTTAATATGTTTAATAAACATATCGTATTTAAATTGATATTTTTTTGACACGATTAAATTGATCGACACAAATACAATCTAATAAGACGAATCGCCACCCTTAGCATAAACCTCGTTTTTTTTGTAATTATTTGCATAAACCTTGTTCCTTCTTCTTAAGAGAGAGGAGGAAAAAGAAAAAGAAAAAGAAAAAAAAACCGTAAGCACCTTAACGTGTCTGAGACTGAGAGGAACCCATCACCCTCTCTACCACTAATTATAATATCGTACAAAACAGGCCCTTGCACGTGCCCCTCTCTCTCTCTCTCTCTCTCTAACTGTTGGGTTTTGTTTCTGTTTTCTTTAGAAAAATCTCTCCTACTACAACCAAACTCCCCACTCTCCCCTGTTTCCCCTGCTTCTTAAGTCTTAACACTTGTTGGGGGAGAGAGAAAGAGTTTTTAGAGAGAGAAAGTTGTTCATAAAGATACATATGCGTACATATACACACACACACACATATATATACAAAGGTTGGATTGATTGTCGTTTTCCATTGGTCTTAATGAAAGGAGAAGGGAAGATGGTGTTCATGTCCAAAATGAAATGGGTTGGTTTAGTTGGGCTGTTTCTCTCAGCCATCTCTCTCTTCGTTCACTTCTTGCTTGCTAGATTTACGTTCGGGGGCATTTCAGAGTACCAGTCCACAATAACGATCTTCTCTAGACGATCCTCTATTGCGCAAGACTTTTCCACGACTGTAAGTACAACTACTCCCATAAAGATCTCATTTTTCAATATTTTTCATTTCTCTCTGTCTTTTCAAGTACTCCCACAATTCTTCTCCAAGTTGAAGTCCTTTTCACCACTTTGAATATTCCATGCCGTTTTCCTTTCTGGGTTTTAGCTACCCTTTTGTTCTTGCTTCTGCAATGGAAGAAATAATGTCCCAAAAGCCAGCTGGGTTTTGACTAAAGATTGATTTCTAATTCTTTTTTTTTTTCTGGGTTTTTGTTTTTTGATCTTCAGAGTGTGATAGTTTAAAATGATGTTGAAATCTTTGTTCATAATCATATTTTTTTTACACTATTGAATTTATGCTCTGTGTCCTTTTTGATGTCCCTTCTAAGATTTCTTATCTTTTTGTTTTCCTCACATGTGAAGCAGAGCCGATTGTACAAAAGGCTTTGGGGACCAGTAAGGCGGCTTGAATCCGTACACCCTGATGCAAATCCTAGGCAATACTATGCTGGTTAGATCTCATATGCATTTTTGAGGTCAATTTCTGTAGTAGTTCAATGATTTGCAAGGCTTGTGTTATTGAATTATTGGTCATATAATTATGCTTGCAAAAACTATGCTGCCACAAAGTTGATGTTAACAGCTTCTTCTGTGATTATAATGACCTTTCCCCGCATGGGATATCCTTATTTTGTGTTTATATTTGAAAGAGTTTGACCTTACAAATTAGGATACATAGATAGGTACATGTTCATACCAACATGTATTATACTAATTACTCTGCATTCACTTTGTGGATTTCTCTACATGGATGCTAAATTCAGAAGTTTTTAATATATAATTTATATTTTTTTCTTAAGATTCCTTCCTGAATGAAATTTCATGTACATATAACAGATCCAACTTCACATACAAATGGATTTATCTTTGTCAGGATACAAGGAGGTTTCCATGAGATTCGAAATTCGGTGAGGCCATCATATTTAAATTGTCAATGATTATTATATTCACTTCTTTTATATATATCAATAGTGGAACGTCTTTTTCTTTTTACAGATATCTGATGTGGTAGTCGTTGCTCGGTTTCTCAACGCTAGCCTAGTGATTCCTGAGATTCTATCCACCACAAGTAGCAAAGGAATCAGGTTGCTTTGCTTTTGACAATCAGTACAAATTTTAACTTTCTTTTGCAGTGATGTTCCTTGTCAATTTATCACATCCCTTGTTTCATGTAGTTCTCAGTTCAAGAGTTTTGCCTACCTCTACAATGAGGACGAATTCATGGCGACCTTAGCAAAAGATGTCATAGTTGTGAAGACCCTCCCTAAACATCTCAAAGGGGAAAGGAGAAAAAAGAACATCCCAGTTTTCAAAGTGCCCTTTGCTGCTTCACCATATTATTATCAGCACCATGTTCTCCCAGTTCTAAAGAAGCACCTAGTGGTTGAACTAGTTGTATCTGAGGGTGGATGCTTGCAGGTAATTACACTTCCTCCATATTTCTTTGGCGGCCATTTTTACACTTACAAACCTCATGAATTGTGTTTTTTTCTTCATACTTAGTCTCGTTCATTTCACTAATTCGAGTTTTGTTTCAGTAAAAAGCTCTCAGAAACAGTCACATCTAACTTTTTTGCTATAGTAAAAAGCTCCCACATAAAATCACATCTCAACTCGAATTAAAAACTCGAATCAACGAATTAAACGGGTCCTAATTAATGCTATTATGTTTTGATGAATGCTTAAATTGATTGTTGAGTCTATGACATGTTCTGTTAAAGAATATTTTGTTTTGAATCACTCATGTTAAGGCATCGACCAAATTGTGTTGTGCTAAAACTCAAACCTTTTTACTAGTACCTTTTGGCTCCCAGTGACCAGAGATAAATGTTCTGAACAATATTACGTCTTCCACATAGAAGTGTCACATCTTAACCTTTCATTCTAATCACACATTTGTAAAGGGTAAATTTGTGTTCTCAATGGAATAAAAAGAAGCTAGCATTGTTCCTAAAATCTCTTTTCCTGGTTCTGTTGTAGGCGATCCTTCCACCTGATCTTGAAGAGTATCAGAGGTTGAGATGCCGGGTGGCCTTTCATGCCCTTCAGTTTCGGCAGGAGGTCCAGGAACTTGCCAACAAGATTTTACATAGGTTATTTGTCTTGACTACTCATTACTAACTCTCGATATATGTTGTTTTCTCATGGCCTTTTTTTATTAACCTATTTCTGATCCTTTTTTTTTTGGTTTCTTTTTAGGCTAAGGGATCCTGGACTACCATTTATTGCGTTTGACCCTGGGATGACTAGAGATGCTTTAGCCTATTATGGTTGCGCCGAACTCTTCCAGGTATCCTCTTCAGATTCAGAATTGAAGTTTGATAGAGCTTTGTAACTTCTCTCTCTGTATTTAGTTTTCATCTTTATTCCTTAAATTTTTTCCCAGGACGTACACACTGAGCTCATTCAGCACAAAAGAGCTTGGATGATAAAACGCGGGATTGTTAAAGGGAGGCTTTCGGTGAATTCAGCTAACAAACGTCTTAATGGTTCTTGCCCGCTAATGCCAGAAGAGGTAAGCATACTGGGATATAAAATATTTTAGTACTTAACAAGCATGTGAATGTGAGATCCGGCCACATTGGGCTTGTAATGCTTTTTTGACAAAAACTTTAGAAGGATGATATTTATGGTCATCTAGCCCATGAAACCTTTCTTAGCTGGGAGGGATGGTCTACAGGTTGGTATTCTTCTTCGGGCATACGGATACTCGTGGGACACTATCATATATGTTTCTGGGGGAGAAATATTTGGTGGCCAAAGGACCTTGATTCCTCTTCGTGGAATATTTGAGAATGTTGTTGATAGGACTGCTCTCAGCACCCCTTGGGAGATCACTCAGCTTTATGGCCGTGAGGCCAACCTCGAGGACAATTATCACCAATCTCCACCTTCTATCGAAAAAGAGATGAAGACTGAAGCGTGGAAAAATGCAGGCCCACGTCCTCGCCCTCTTCCACCACCTCCAGCACGGCCGAAGTCCTATAACATTGAAGGTTGGTGGGGCTGGGTGGCTGAGAGTGACAATGAGCCTGAAAGTACAGTTATAGAACTAAGGACCAATGCACACAAGTTACTATGGGAAGCCATTGACTATGCTATATGTGTTGAAGCTGATGTGTTCATCCCGGGATTCGATCGTGATGGTAAAGGACACCCCAATTTTGCAAGCTTGGTGATGGGTCATCGGCTTTATCAATCGGCTGCATTGAAAACATACCGGCCGGACAGGTAATCTTCTATAGGACAATACTATTTGGCATCAGTGGTATGCTTTTCCTTCTATTTAATGAATGTTGTGCCTGAACACACATGGATATATATATATATATATATATATATATATATATATATATATATCGTTGGCTAATAATCCTTTCTTCATTTAACTCAATTTACTGGTGTTTTCTTTGACAAAAACACAGAAAAGAAGTTGTTAAGCTTTTGGAAGACATTCGTGGGCATTTATATCACGCAAACCACACTTGGCTTACATCGGTTCGCAAGCATTTGACAAAGACACTAGTTGATGGATTACTAGAAGCATCCAGAAAATCAAAATCAAAATCCTTCATATCTCATCCAGTCCCTGAATGTACTTGCTTGAAACATGATTCTTCCGAAACAACAACTCGAGTTTCAAGTCCTACAACTTCACAACTCCTTGCCTCTCTTGGCGTTGTTCATCGGTGCCCTGTCTGGATGGACAGCGACTTGACTTTGCGTTCAAAAGACAAGGAAAATGAGGAGGATTTCGACGAGGATGACTCCACATTGTCCGGACTGTTTTTCACTCAGGACGACAGAAGTCATGAGGGTGGTGGAGCTGTAGAATTGAACAACAAAGATGAAGCGCAGTTGGAGGATCAAGATGAGCTCGAGGGTGGAGAAAGATGACGAGAAGCTATAAATGTCGTGAGTTCCGCTACCTCTCTTCCTTCTTGAGTTTCCGCAAGGCATCGCTCTGTCAACTCGATTTCAGCTCAAACATGATAAGCTAATCTAATGCTTAGTTAGTTCAATACATGACTGAGAAGTGACAATATTCTCTAAGCTTCGGTTTCTTTTTCTACAAGGAGAAGCTAGTTTAGGCTAGCACAAGGGCCTTGCTCATCATCCGCTGGTCGCTCTAAAATATGGACTTAAATTGCTAGTCCTTTGTAAGTAAAACGATTTAATTAACTTCCTCCCAAGTCATATTGATGTAACTAACATATATATATTTAACGGGAAAAACTTAGGTTCAGATTTATGTAACATTGTCAAGGAAAAACAACGTTAGTGTTCTGACTTGACTCCATGATTTTTCAATAAAGTAGCTTTTATTACTGTGGAGAATTCATACCAACTTCTTACAAGTTAGCATTGGTGGCATATTTCTTGTTTTGTTAAACTTGTCAGTAGCTTTCAGAAACAATTGTGAGATTGTGCTGTTCTTTGCCAGACAATTTCCAGGAAACTACTGCCAAGGGACAGCCGAGCGAGCCTGCACACAGGAACCCACGTCTTGAGGCCCACCACTTGTGAGTAAGGAGCCGGGGCCGTTGGGATGAAAAAGATTTCTTCATGTTAGAAAGCATATATTTTTTTACTACTAACTCAGCTAGCTAGACTACAACCTCCATGTAAAAATATGACGTTTTCGTATCTCAAGGCCCCGTTCATTTCGCCGATTTAAGTTTAGAATTTGAGTTTTGCTACAGTAAAAAGCTCTCAGAAACAATCACATCTAACTTTTTTGCTACAGTAAAAAGCTCTCACACAAAATCACATCTCAACTCGAATTACAAACTCGAATCAGCGAAGTGAACGGGCCACAAATTTACTTACTAGATAAATCTCATAATTTAGCAAAAAAGATAAATCTCATAATTAATACCTAAAATAATTGATAAATCTCATTGTTACATCATAATAACTATAAATTAGATCCAATTCCATTTATAAAATCTACTTATTCACCCGTATTATTTTAATGTCTAAATTATCTAAAATATTTTCACACATAATATCAATTACCAACTCCTCTAATTCACCTTTAGAGTAATTCTTTGATTCAATATCTCATGTTTTTGAAGGGGGAAAAAAAAACACTGCGTGGCTTAGAGTGGAATTGAAAGTTAGTAATTTTTTTTTAAAGATTTCAAAATAGCAAATTATATAATAATTTTTATAATAGTATTCACGTTTTATACTACAAAATTATTAATAATTATAATTAGTTTAATAATTTTACTTTTTATTATTTCTAAAATATTCTAAATTCTTTTTTGCTAGATTTCACTATAATTAGTAAAATTTTGCTATATCCTTCTCTTTTTTTTTGTTGAGAAAATTGCAAAAACTAACCCTTAAACACATCTTTATGGAGTTCTATTCTTTTTTGTTGTGATAGACTACCCATTTGATAATAATCTGTCAAATTATATATAGTAATATATCAAATTACGTCAGTCGCCGGTGATCGAAGACCTATAACTTGGTGATTGAAGATCCACCGTCAGTATAATTTATCAAATTATAGATGATAATCTATCAAATTATTTATTATAAAGAGATAAAATTTAATATATTAATGTTAAGATTTAAAAATCTTTAATGATGCTATTGTAAGAGATATTTATTAAAATTACTCTTTAAAAAAAATGGCATGTCCAGGTACCCATCTAACTAAAGCCGAAAAAATAGCAGCCCAAGGTCTACTTAAGGCCCAAACAGTGACAAGTTACGGCCGAGCGCGACCTTAGACCGTGCACCGAACACAATACGTCACGTGACGACAAAACAGGAACGACGTGCGCAGCTTAGTAGCCTTAACCGCAGATGTACATATTAGCATAAACCACTTACGAAATTAAAATAATCGCGATTTTTCCCATGAATAAACAAATAAAAGTAGTTTTTATCCCCTAATCAATACAATAATCACAAATAAAATAATATAATAATAATCACAGAAAAAAGCGAAGAAGAAAGGGAGAATTGAATTGAAACCTGTTTATGGCACCTTCGAAAAAAAAAAAAAAACTGTTTTTTGCAAGTTAAACTCATCATCTAGGGCTCCATAGCTCTCCAACTGTACTACAAAATAAAAACGCCAAAATTAGTTTTACAAAAAAAAATCAAAAAATCAAAAAATCAAAATCAATCTCTCTCTCTAGCAATTCATATTCAGACCCGTCGGAGTTGTTCAGACCTCTCTCGTCGGAGCTCCGGCATTATCGCCGTCGCCATTTTCACAGTACTCTCTCTTTCTCTCTCTGTAGCTCGGAATTTTTGTTCAATTTTGTTTCTTTTTGGATTTAACTGTTTTCTTTTTTGGTAAGAGTTTTTAGAGTGCTTTTTGGAGATGGTGGAGTCTTCGAAGGGTCACCACGAAGAATTCGACGACGATGAAGAAGTTGTCACCCAAAAAGGTCTTTCTTTCTCTTTTCTCCGTTAATGTCTTCTCTTTTTTTTTTTTTTTTTTTTTTTTAAAATGAGATTTTTAAAAAAAAAGGGAAAGAGCAGGGAAAAGAATAGGTCCAAGCATTCAGAAACTGAGCAGCGTAGAAGGAGCAAGATTAATGAGAGGCATGCTTTATACTTGTTTCTCACCATTTTTTTTTCCTTTTTTAACGATGAGTTAAAAATCAAAGTTTCAGATTTTGTTTTCCGTTTATTTTAATCCGATGAAAGTTTTGATTTTTTATTCAGGTTTCAAACACTGAGGGATCTCATACCCCAAAATGATCAGAAAAGAGATAAGGCTTCATTCTTGCTGGAGGTTCATTTCATCATCTCTCTCTTTCTGTTTTTTTAATTATATAATTTTATTTTAGTCTGGTGATTGATGTTATGTATTTTATGCAGGTTATAGAGTATATTCAGTTCTTACAGGAGAAGTTAAATATGTACGAGGGGTCATTACATGGTTGGAGTTCGGAACCAAGAAAATTGATTCCATGGGTAAGTTTTATTTTTTTTCACAATAATAAGCAACTGATCCTATTGATAAGAGTTCTAGTGCTTTACTTGTGTTTATGAACGGGAATTCACATGTAGGCCTCGTTCACCTCGCGGATTCGAGTTTCTAATTTGAGTTGAGATGTGATATTTTCTGAGAATTTTAAAGTGTAGCAGAAAAAGTTAGATGTGACATTTTCTGAGAGCTTTTAACTGTAGAAACTTAAAACTGAAAACTCGAATCGGTGAAATGAATTTAGAGATATGGACTCTTTTAGCATTGCTTTTTTGTTTACCTGTTTGTGATCATTTCTCAGCGTGTTTCATTTGGTGCCCATGTTATTTAGACACTTTGAAACGTGTAAACTTCTTGTGTATAGCTGCAAAATATGGTTATTTGGGACTAGGTGTCTTCGGTACATGGCTAAATGGCACATGCAAAGCAAGTGCGTGGACAAACTATACACTAACCGTATATGTTTCCAAGAGAAGTTTTCTCGCGGAAATGTTTCCTTCTTTTTGATAGACAGTTTAGATCAAAACTAAGTTCAAAAACTTTCTTGTAGACGCGTGATTCCTGAATTTGACTCGATATATATATATATATATATATTTTTTTTTTAAATTCGTGTTAGAGGCTACTGATTTATGTATTATTATTATTTAATAAAAGTTCTCTTTACAGTTATTTTGTCCGTGATTCAACTATTACAGTATGCTTTTGACTTCTTTATCTTTCTGTTGAGTTTTACTTTAAATTTTAATATTAAGCTTGTCTTCATTCATTTATTAAGATTTTTTTTGGGTACTTTTTTCGCTTTTTTTGAGGAGGCAATGGGGTTAATATATGTATATACATATGTGTGTGTATGTGTGTATTTTTCTTCATAGTGGATGGGTGTAGTTGGTATTATAAGATATAAATTGAGGTTCAGGTTTCCGGCAATGGCTGATTTTTGCATTCGATTTTAGCTACTAATTTGTGTGTATCACTGTGCATGCTTCTTTGGCAGCTATGGAAGACATTCACGCTAATCTTTTCAGTATGTGTTGGATGATTTTGGTGCAGAAGTTTCTATTGAGTACCCCACTCCTTTGAGTTATATACTCCCTTTTGTGATTGATATTGGTTCTCATCAACTTCATCAATGAGTCTTGTTAATAATTGCGAGGCTTACTTTGGCGCTATGTTCAAGGCAAGAAAAATTTGGACGGGTCTTCTTAGTTATAAGGAGATGAAAATGTTACAAATTTTTCTACATTTTAAAAAATTAAAATGAACTAAAGCACGCTCTCTTTTAATGAAGTTAGTAGCATGTCAACCATGGAGCATCACTGATTACAAATTTGCCTCAAAATATACATGAATGAGAAACTTTTTTACACTTTCCAATTTGTATGCTACAGAAAAATGAACATGTGCTGACAGAAGGCTTTTCAGATCCGGGTCAAGTTATGAAAAATGGTTCTGATCTTCAAAATAATGTTGTTGTTTCCCCGTCTATGCTCCCCAATTCACAGAACTCTCCGGAGTCTGACATGGGCTCCGCTATGGTTTACAAAACAATGGATCACCTCGCTGGGTCAGCTATTCAAGCAGCTCCTCTCAACGTGCAACACACAAGTATGTTTGATCCTATTGGGAGGCGTGTTGTGCCTTTACAACCTTCGCAGGAATCTGATGTTGTTCATGTAGATCCGCTACCACAACCACAATCTGTATCATGGCAGAGTGGACATTCAACTGCATGTTCTGTGTTAAATAATACATCTTGTATCCAGGAGGAAAAATGTGGATCAGCTAGTATCTCAAATTCGTATTCTCAAGGGTGAGCATCCACAAAGTGGTTCTTAATTTTGTTCTGTGAGTTAAAAAGTGTTGCCATTTGTATGATTTATTTTTAGGCTACTAGCATTTTACTTGGAAGCTTGTGTTTTGAGGTGATCCTAATTTGAATCCTACCTGCCTCTGGCACTATACTAATTCCATTCTCCCGAGAGAAGCCGTGCACTTCCGCACAATTCTTAATTGCTTGCAACAATGTTTATTTGCAATAAAAGCAAACTCATTTCACTTATTTCTTGGAAATGTTTTCATATATTTGACATATCGTTGACATTTCTGTTCTAGAATATATGCCCTCCCTTCCCTTCTACATTTCCTTTTGGATAGGTTTTCATATATTTGACAGGATGATTTTAATGATTTCTTTTGGAAGGATATTGTATGTGTTGTTACTGAGGTGCTGTTTTGTATTGAACAGGGTACTAGATACACTGACACAAGCGCTGCAATCTTCAGGCGTGGATTTGTCTCGGACCAGCATCTCAGTGCAAATTGATGTCGCGAATCGAACAGATAGTGGACTGACTTTTTTGGCGTCCAGTTCAAAGGTTTTTCCAAGGATTCTCAACCATATTATATAAAACTAACTGCTACCACTGCTACCATACATTTCTTCTTATAAGGACATTTACTATAGAAACTTGAGACATTGATTTGATGTCTTAGTTTATAATGCTTAGGGACCTTTGAATTTTTGTTGTTAACACTTACTTTTGTATAGGATCACGTGAACCGGTCATTGGACAATCAATTGACGGCAAATCCGCAGGTAACCAGTGCGAGTGACAAGTTTGAACAAGCTCATAAGAGGCTCAGAGTAGAACAAAAGTAGTTTATTTTTGGAGTTGCCCAATTTTTCTTATGGACTCGTTTTTTATTTTATTTTAATTTTGGTTCTTTTCTTAATTTCGGATGGTGGTTCGAGGTGAGAGGGGGATCAGATGGGTCATTTTTTTTAGATCAATTGTACATGTGTATGCTCCTTGTTCTATGCCCCTTTGTGCATCGATTAACCTTGCAAGATAATTTCAGATATTCCCCTGTTTGTACTTCCAACTTCAAATAGCGATCCGGTGCACATAGTGAGGCAATTCTCGCATTTGTAATGATTTCTTTAGGGATTATTTCCTGCCAATGCCATGATCTATTCTTCTTCTTCTATGCATCTTGTTTATGTTATTCTGTACCATTAATCTCCTAACATATGCTCGGGAACCACATTAATGGGGATTCATACTGAATATGAGGGAACTATTTCTATTTCGAGTGTTATACAAGGAGTGATGATCAAACAGTTTGGTCTTCTCTAATCTTAGTCGATATGCATAGACAAATAGGAGAGGACAAATCTTTTATGTTTATGTTAATAGTTAGCACCAGTGGGAAATAGCATTCTCATTTTGGTCGATTAAGAGAATGTTGGCTTTACATGAAGAAAAAAATGCTTGCGGCACCTTTGGTGTAAAATGCTACCATTAATAGAAGGTAGCGCTACCATTAATAGAAGGTCGATCGATCCTACCTGTGTGTCTCATATTGAAGAACTTATTTTTTATTAATAAGTGACAATCGGCGCCTAATAATATTATTCTTAGATGAAACTGACTGAATTTATAATGAGAGAGAATTGTTATGATAATTTTGTGCAGTTGTGAACTAGAATAAAAATAAGTGGATGTTAAGGAATATGACCTTGGACAAAAAGTAAAAATTAGAAATTAGAAAAACTCTCTTTTACATATTGAATTATAGGTTTGGATAATGTACATTACTAAAACTTGTAGTATTAGCATCAGTAAGAGGAAGTAACCGGTGGGTGAATACAGTATATATAATAATCTACTTTTCCTTTTTGAAGTTTTGGGATTAACAAAATGGGGAATAAAATATCCCATGTCTCAGAAACAATTGACTAGGAAATCTGCTAAGCTAATCTTTTCTGGACAATGATCATTAAAGCTTGAACTACAATTGCGCTATGGGGCTTAATCCGAGAGTTGAACCAAGTTAAATATGACAAAAAAATGATACTTTAAAGCATTTCACCAACTTTCCACTGTTGTGGATGGAAATTCACCATGACCCCTTGGAAATTTCAACCATCCCATTCCCACTTTTCTTGGTTGTGTACTTTGAAAGTTACGTTTGAAGTCCTAATTAGCCGCCTTTGAGTGGAAGTAGAACACACAATAAGTGGCCATTGATGTTTTTCAGCAAAAAAAAAAAAAAAAAAAAAAGTGTGGCCATTGATGGTATGACCAACTACACAGTTTCTTAATTGAGAGTGGCTTCTTGGATCACCCACCAAAGTCTACACTTTCTTGGACATTTCATTGCCATTTTGTATTTATCCAATTAATACTATTTCTTTGTCACTTCTCTCTCTCTCTCTCTCTCTCTCTGTATCTTGGATCAGCTGTCAAAGTTGGGGATTTTCAAATGATGATTTAAGTAGAATATAGAGATTTTGTTGTTAAGTACTAGCAAGTGTCTATATTTTCTATGATCCCATCATTGTGAATTGTCTGTTATTTCCTCACATTGAAAAATTCTTTTTCATTTTATCGGAATATAATAGTATCTCTTTCCATGCATTGACAATTATAAAAATAGGGAGATATTAGAAATGACTTGGAATTATTTGTGAAAACCCCACCATGAAAAGGGGCTTTGGAATCACCGAGAATGATTTTTCCAGGTGCCAAATATGGCTGCCATAAAAGCAATGTATGCGTGTAAATATATTATATTAATAAACAGTTGTGCTGTGTAAATATATTATATTAATCTGTCTGAAGCCTAAATTTTTCAGGCTCAGCGGGCAGGGACCCATGACCGTCCGTTTAAGCACAAATCGGGCTCAGGCTCGGGCTCAGGCTGCTCGAGAAACAATTACATGGCGGAAGCCCGCCGCCGAATTATCGTTCCCGACCGTCGACCGTTGATTTTTTTTTTTATATTTTTTTCCTCCGGCCCGAATTCTAGCCTAAATGCCCGAAGCCCGATCAACGACTAGTTTTTTCAAATTTGATGCCCGACCCGCCGCTCTTTTGTTGACCGTTGCCCGATTTTCGGCCCGAACCCGACCTGCCGATTCCAAAAATAGCCGTTGGATCCGAATTTGAGGGAAAAAAATCAATTTTTTAACTTAAAAATTTCTCTATAAATACCCCTTATTTCTTAAATATTTTCATCACCCAAACTCTCTCAATCTCTCTCAATTTCTCTTAATCTCTCTCAATCTCTAAAATCTCTCGCACAATTTTTCTAAAAACTTACATAATATCCTAAAGCTCTTTCTCTCAAATCGCTCTTATTTTTTATAATGGATTCTTTTGGTTATGGTGGTATTCCTGTTGATGCTTAACAGAACGTGAAAGAAGGACAATTTCCTACTAATGAATTTATTACGCATGAATCGCAAACACAAGTAACTGACGAACCTGCAAATTTGAGCCGCAGTGGACGTAGTGGAGGTCATGGTCGCAATGGTGGTGGGTGTGGAGGAGAGGCAAGTGCAAGTATTACTGCAAGTGTTGCCAGCTCCAAGTGGAAATGCAAGCACAATGCGACAGTTAGGGATCACTTCGACACAATTGAGGAGGTCGACAATGACGGTAACACTAAACACATAGCTCATTGTAAATATTGCTATTCTAAATTACAAGGTGACACTATTCACGGCACAACACACTTGAGAAGACTCCGAAAACTGTCTTCAAAAGCGTGGCCAAACTGGCGGAGCGGAACTCCGCCAAACATAATTATTTTTTGATCGCACAACCGGTGGTCTAACCACTTAGAAATACGATCCGCTAGTAGATCGTATGGAAGTTGCGCAAATGATAGTTGCATTAGATCAACCACTTAGTTTTGTAGAGCATCTTAATTGACAGCGATATATTAAAGTTGTACACAATCCTAATGCACAATTTATTTTTAAAATTACTCTTAGGAAAGATTTGTTAAAATTATTTAAACAAGAAAAAAAAAAGCATTAATAAACTTTTTACACTATACTAGCAGTTGCGTTGCGTTAACGACATACATTTGGTTTGCCGTTGCCAACAAAGATTATTTATCTGTAACCGGACATTACTTTAAAGGCTTCAATTTAAATAAGAGACTATTAGGTTTTAAATGTGTTCATGGATCACATAACGCCGATTTAATATATAATACAAATTTAAATGTAAATCATGAATATAGATTAAGAGATAAAATGATGGCTATAACATTAGATAATGTTAGTGCAAATACTAAAGTAATTGAATATTTTGAAAATGATTTAAGTTTATTCGGTGATGGTACTATTTTTCACCAACGTTGTGCATGTCATGTATTTAATTTAATAGTTAAATCCGGTTTAAAATCAATGTTTATTCATATAAAAGTAATTATAGATAGTATTGCATGGATTCAAGGTAGTAACCCACACGAACAAGATGGAACTCAACTTATATAATGCTTCAACAATGCATCCCCTATAAGGATGCTATAACAAATTATATTAGCGCAAAATTAGGAGCAGGACATATAGACGCATATGATGTGTAAATTGCTGAAACTTTGTATCAATTTTTAGGTAGGTTTCATGAAGTTACTTTAAAACTTAGTGGAACATATTACCCAACATCACATTTTTTAAGAATTAATATTTTATTTAGTGAATATAGGAAAGACCTAATTTTAGAAGTTTCTATCGCTTCTATGGAAAAGAAATGTACAAAATATTGGTCTAAATTACCAATGTCGTATGGTTTCGGTACTATTTTTTTTATCATAGATTAAAATTAGAAGGTTTAGAAAGTGGTTTAGAAAACTCAGGTGAATTTTTAGGCATGATTGTTCTGACCTATTTCCTAAAATAAAGGAAAATATATTTTCTCTTTATAGCAAATATGAGAATAGGTTTAGAAACACAAGTTTTGGAGTACAAGAACCGCAACAAAGAGATAAAAACCCGCATTCATTCATGAATGTTTTCGGGTTGAAGAGAAAGAAGAAGACAACTCAAACAGAAGCTGGGAGTGGATCTTCATCAACAGGTGGTGGCGGCAGTGGCAGCTTCAACGAGCTTATGGCGTACCTCAGCGAGAGCTTAGTAGTCGACGGTAGTGGAGAATTGTTTGATTTAGTTCAATGGTGGAGGGCACGAGCATTAACTTGGTCAGTCCTAACTCAATTGACAATGGATATTTTTTCGATCCCAGTCTCCACTGTTTCATCCGAACAAGCCTTCAGTACAACCGGATGAATACTTGAGGAACGCTAAAACGCATTGCAAAGGGACATTGTTGAAGCTTTGGTGTGCATTAAGGATTGGGATCATGCCGATCAACGTTTATAAGACACAATTTTGCCGACAAGCCAGGAATGGATAGATGAATTTAATAAATTAACATTTCACTTTTAAGACGATCCTTCAGATTCAAATTAAATTGTGATTTCAAAATATTTATTTACTTTGGACATTGTAATTGTAATATTCAGACTTTGTAAGTTTGTAAAATTTGTAATTCGTCATAAAATGATTGTGCTCTTTTTTCCTTACCAAGTTTTTATCTCAATTGAGTTTTTCTTGGTAAGGTTTTTAACAAGGCAATCATGAATTACAAATTTAAAAATTAATATACAAAATTAATTTTTTAAATTGTGTTAATAGTGTGTTGATTTTAATTTTTATATAATTTTAACACAAAATAATTTAATAATTATTTATATACAAATACAATTAATAAATTATAGTATATTACATATAATATATATACAATATTATAAAAATTAAAAAATATAATAAAAAATATTTTTTTTCCGGGCACATTTGGGCGGGCTTAGGCTGCCCGACCAAGATCAGGCCCGCGGCCCGTCCAAGGGTCTTCTCAGGCTCGGGCGAACGGCCCAAATTTTTTAGGCGGGCGGGTTCAGGTGTCGGGCACAAAATTCAGTTTTTTCACGGGGCTACCAACGGCTCGTTCAAAATTCCAGTACTATGCTTATCTTCCTCAACATTTAATCATAATTGTTTTGTCTCCTAGAAAATATTATTATTTTCAGCATGCCTGAATCATTTTAATGAAGTCTGATACTTCATTGATATAAAGATATCATAATACTAATGATAATCAGGTTCTTTGACTTTTTTGCTAATCAATCAGGTTCTTTGACTTAGCAACCGCACAAATCTTTAGAGCTGGCTTAGAATTAGCAGTTTTCCTATTTCTGGAGAATTTTTGTGGGAAAACATGAAAAGAAAGTTGACCAACAAATATCACAGTTTTTCTTACCCGTATATGGTATTCATATAATTATTATTATTATTTTTTTTATTTTTCTAGTAAAATTACATTACATTCCATTGACGGTAAAGAAGTACAGCAAAAGAAAGTTGGAAGAGAAAATCGAAAGAACACCTTGGCAGTAACCGCTGTTGAAATAACCATGTAACGCGGGTTTTACTTCCAGAGAGTTTTTATTGAAAAGTATGAAAAGAAAAAAAAAAAAAATTATTGACATTGGAATATGCTTCTTTCGGGTTCATAGTTCTCTCCGAAACCAAAACATTTACAGATAATGATCCTTATGCTGTACTTGAGTTTCTGTATGGAGATTCAATGAGAGATCAGTCATAGAGATGGATTTGACCATGTTTATGAGATAAACAAGATCACGTGGTTTTGGTCAATGGTTCATCATCTATCAGTTGCAAACACTCTTGTGGATTGGAGTAGAAGTAATCTTCTTCCTTTGGTCTGTCTGGAATCACAACTCGTTTGATCGGATTTCCCATTCGATCGGCATGAGATTTCTTTATGGTGAAAGAGAAGTCATCCCAGCTCAATGAGCCATTGTTGTATTGATCTATTAAGCCAATCAGAAGCCTTCTGTCCAATAAAATAGTCCTTTTGAACCCCAAGAATCTGTAGTGGTTTTAAAAATAAATAAATAAAAAAAAAAAAAAGAACGTAGCATGAGTTTATGTAAAAGTCAGATGAAATGTGGAAGTAAAAAAGTTTGGACAACTGGAGAGAAGTTATTACCTGCGATGCCCTTCGACGACTTTAGCCATGTTTCCATCATAAGTAGGAACAAAAATGTCACTTTCTAATGAGACTAGGTAATCCAGTGCTGCCATTTGGGAAGAATGGTTCTGGAAAAACCTCAAATCCGAGGGCTCCAGGAGAGTCTCTTTCCTCACCTGTTTCATGGAGTGAACAAGCAAAAATTTGTTATGGCAATAGTATATGTAAATTTGTGCAAGGTTTCTTCTTCTTTCCAGTACTAACCAGATTAGGAAAGGCAGCCACTAAACTTTCCATCCTCCTTTTTCCACCATAAATTTCTCCGGCCGCGATATAAATCTGAACGTTTCGATCAATACCCAATGCTTTAAGCACTAAGGCAGTTTCCTCAGGTGTCAAAGGGCACATACCTTCTTTCCTCTTCAATTCTGAGTCTATAGCCTTTTCCTTCCACAAGGGGTTGTCATACCTGAAAAATGGTTATTATTTTTCATTAGGTTGAAAAAATAAATTTATGGATATACAAACAGAAAACTGAAAGTAGCAAAGATTACCTCATTCTTGTGAGCTCTTCCTCCTCCTCATGGTGGCAACCATGAGTGCAGCCAGAGAAGGACAACATGTCCATTTCATACCTGAGATGGAGGACCAGAAAAGGACCCTTTTCCCTCAAAATCCTCACAACCCTTCTCCCCAAACGCTCAATCTGCGGAGTGAACCTCAGCGCATTGAAATTCACTCGGCAACGCAGCTTCTGAAGTTCTGCAGGCAGGCCATTGTTGGCAAGCCGAGCATCCGTCTTGTTTAGATGCACAACTTTGTACTTTTGCACTAGAGGAAGAATCTGCCAGCAACGATTTTGGAAATTAGCATAGGAAAGTCATAAGCTTAAAAAATAAAAAAGACTCAAAAACTTTTTTTTTTTTCCCCTGGAACCAACCTGATGAAGGTAGTATGAAATGTTGGACCAACTAACTGGTGGCAAAGAGTAGAGCATTCCCAGTTCAACTCTCTTCTTGACCCTTGGAGGCAATTCTTTCAATATCCTCACCTCATCTCTCAATGATGTAATGAAATGGTCAACATCAAAAATGTCTTGAAATTCACTGCTACACACCACAGCAAAAAGGACACATGATCAGAGACATCACAAAAATTGTTTTTTTTAATTAATTTATTTATTTATGGAAGAGCAACCAATATCCAATATTAATTAGTTAAAATTACCTGGGGTCTGCCCAAAAGGAGTTTTTATCCAGCTCTGGGACAATTAGAGTGATATTCAAGTATCTGGCAATAGCAACCATATCACATATCTGCAAGAAAATGCACAAGTGAGACAAATACACAATGTGGATGTAAAACAAAGCATGAAAACATTTCCATAATTATATACTCACCGCAGCTCTCATTTGGTTTAGTCCCCCATTACAAGAAACCATGAGATATCCATTGTTCTTGTAAACCCCTGAAATTACAAAACAGAATCCAAAAAATTCAGACCAAAATAACAGTTGGGAATAAATATATCTATAACAAACATTGAAGTTGACAAATTTAGGCTCACTCTTTGGTGGGGAAACAACTCTGGGTGGAATAGAAGACAAATGGTAATCAGTCAAGGTCAAATCCTGATCATGACTAAAACAAGAAGGCCAATCCTTTAGCAACTTTGGTCCCCAAACCTCACTGAAAATCAGCAAGTGAACAACACAAGCCCATAGAAACACAGTGGTAAATGCCCGGATCATCCACAACCTCATCCGAGTCTTGGAATTTCCCATCACCAAGATCCTTGATTTCTCAAGCCTCAGCAAAAGCTTCAACCCCATCTTTTTCTCCTTGTAACCACACTCCTCATCTGAATCCCCTCTGCTACACATTTTTTGTTTTGTTTTGTTTGTTTTTTTTAATACTGACCCACCAACCACCACAAACTGACCTCTGAAAATCAACAAGAGAAAACACCACAAGTTTCACTTCAAGAACCGGGCAAACAAGGACAGAGAATCTGCTCCAAGAGCTTTTAAGCTTAATGGGTAGTGAAAATTAAACCCATTTGATTATTACGATCAATGAAATTATGACCAATGTCATCTCAGCACAAGACAAGCTGATGCTTGTTACGTAACCTAAGCACTAAGAACCTAGAAAGTATAAATCAAAACCCCAGAAAAGAAAAAAAAAAAAAAAAATTTCTTGATTTAATAAAAAAACGAGTAAAATAATCAACCCAACTCTAAGATTCTCATAACTTGATCCTCAAAGTACTTAAACTCCAAAACTTGAGAAATATTCCACTTTTGGCTCAAGCATTACAAACCCAAGAACAGTTTTTGCTTGGACTGTGTATCTCCGGCGAGTTTTTGGCCCCGATCCGGAGAGACTCGCCGGAGCAATGGTGGAGAGAGAGAGAGAGAATAATACTGAAAAGCTTAAGGGTGTCGTTTGTACGGTTTAATTTATAGTGAAGAACTGAAAGTGGAAAGCCTGTGATTAAGGCGTGAGTGAAGCGTTTTAGTTGAACATGTAACACTTTTTATTAGTTTTCGTAAGTTTTTTATGATTTTTCTTTTTCTTTTCCTTTCTTATTTCTAATTTTCTGATTTACTTTCTTCACTAGATCCGATCAAATTTATTATCCTAAACTACGTGTCACCTTTTTTTTTAACTTTATTCCTTTTAAGGGAACTATTGTTACGGTAGTACCAAATTACCAATTTCTAAGTATAGTTTTTATTTATTTATTTATTTATTTGTTTGAAGGGGACCAAGTCTAGTAGTTGAGACTAAAGGTACGATTTTTCCGTAGAATTACGTGTATTTCAGAATTTTAAGATCTAAATGCGTGCAGATAGAATTTAGCCACACAAAAAAAAATTGTAAAAGATAAAAAATAGTGATTTCATTTTTGAACCCATCAAACGACTAAGATTTAGGCTGTACATGCTTAAATAAATATACCTTGGTTTATCTTCTTGTTCTTCTTTTTCGTTTTTATTTTCCTGAATTAGTCAAGTTATCTGAGGATGTTGATATTGAATCACAAGGATATCACAAAAATATATACTTATTCATTTGCATCTAAATTCAAAAAAAAAAAAAATTAAACTCAAGTTATAACTTTATTCAAGTTAATATTCTTTTGTAAAATTTAAATTTAAACTTGAGTTTTAACTTGAGTTTGGGTATAAAATCTGAGTTCAAGTTCTCTCTTCAACTCAAGTTTCTAAACTCAAACTCAAGTTAATGAACAATATTTTTTTTTCTATTCTTAAAAATACCGTAACTTTTTCGTTTTAATTTCGATTAAAATGATTTTTTTTCTATGCGTTCACAACGAAAAGACGAATAAAACCTTACCCATATACCCTATTAAAATTTTCCATCACCATTGAGCTTTTATTAAAATATCAATCTAAATACAAATTCAAGTTTTGACTCACTCAAACACAAACTCAATAGATTCTCAATTCAAATTATAACTAAAAATGTGCACATCCAAACACAAACTCAAATTAGAGTCCCAACTCAAACCATATTCAAATACACCTGAACGGGACCATAATGCACTGAACTATGATTTGGTTTCTAAAACGATTTTAGATCAAAACAATATTGCGAAAACAAATTGGTAGGAATAGTGTATAATAAAATTTTTTGTAAAATTTGTGAGTCTATTCTATAGATTATATTAAGTTATATGATCAGAATAAATAATTAAATTATCTATCTTACCCGATTAAAGTGATTATGTCGATAATTTAAATTTTTTGACCACGAACAATCCTCACTTCAATAATTTTAGAACTCGTTCAAGACCCTAATTTAGAACTAACAGGAAAGATAAACACATGAGCAAAGCATGACTGAGATGGAAGAACTTTTGTTCTCTTTTCTCTCTCTCAGTTGTACACGCTTACTATAGAAGAAAATAAAGCAAAATTATATTGTCAAATTTTGTATTACCACCTACTTATAGAAATGCAGCCATAGTCCCTAAAAAGATAAGACTAAAAAAATTGGTGCATATCATAATTTTAAATCTCATCTAAAAAGTAAGATAAATTCATAATTTTAAATCTGATATAGTCATTATATGTAGATCGATCTCTATAAATAATTCATAATTAGAGTTAGATAGAATCCGTTAACATCTCTAATCACATCTTTATCACAGTATACCATTAATACTCTAATGAATAATAACATCATGATTATAATCATGAATTAAGCGCTCTTACTATTCAAGACCGAATCAACATTCAATAAAATTATTTATATACTTATTTATTCAAGAGGGAATATATTCCATAACAAGTAAGTCAAACGACATAAATTTATAAATAGGAGTTTACTAATAACTCATGATTAAAATTATTATATATATGACCATCGGTAAGCTTAATTCAAATTTCTCTACTTAACATAAATTATTAGAAATTCAAATAATGTATTCTCTTTGTCATACATAATCAAATTATGTATAATACACTTACTCAATATCCCTTTATATTAATGAGACAGATAACATCGTTCTATTTTTAGTGGGGATGGCATGTATTAGTAATGTTTTGATTAAAAATTCTAAAATTTTAATTAAATTCATTACAAATATATTTCAATTATGATCCTTAAATATTATCTTCTTATATATAACACTTAAATACAAGGTCACATAAATAATTACGAAATTTTCAATAATATTCATAAAATGTTCAACAATACATATAAATGAAATAATGAAAATTAATTTTACTAAATAAATAATAAAACATCTTATCACATCTCACTCGGCACCGTTTCTAAAGCGACATCATGTGTTTTTGCTTTTCTATTTTTTTTACAAAGTTTTATAAATATTATATTTGGTGTTTTGCTTTTCTATTTTTTTTACAAAGTTTTATAAATATTATATTTGCTTAAATAACGCTAGAAGATTTTCTTTTGAAGAGTAAACTCATTCTCTTACTTGAAGATTTTCTAATAAATATGATCGTAACAGTTGGAAAAGTGTAAAAATAGTAATTTTACTATTATTGATCTCCTTAATCATAATTGTCCATTTATTAATATATATCCAATAAACAACTCAAACAAAAAGAATAATATTAAACAAAAAGGATAATATTGATTTTGAATTTTAAGGATATTTTTTTTAAATATATATATATATATATATATATTTATTTGAATTTTGAAATGCCTCGTTATACAAAATTAAGTAGATTTTCAAAAACAATGGAATCCGTGCAACAATAGACTATTAATAATTTCTTATTTTATTAATAATATCTTATTTTTTGATCGTTAAATTTGTATTAAAATTTGTCAATTTTACATATTTTTTAATTTAATATAATTTTAATCATATTCAATAGTAAAAAATTGAGGTCGATTACCGGCGAAACTACTCAAAAACAAATTAAAAGGTTACTTTACACTAAGGGATTACGTCATGGGGGCAAAAGGGAAACTAGGATAATTACTACTTCTTTACTAGCTTGTCTATTTCTTTTTTGTCAAAGAAGCAATATTGCAACTTCTCATTTAGAAAATGGCAAGGAAGAATATGGGAAGGTATCATAAGCATTAGACTGTGATTAGTGCAAAAATTGAAAGCTATAGCCTCCTAATCTATTTAATTAGGGCGGCTAGTGGTGGAGTTCGATGGTGATAGAATGAGATGATTTCAAATATATATATATATATATATATATATTTACGAAGATCTATCAATCGATATTCTCATTTAAGACAACATAAGCATGCAATTGAAAATCATCCTAATTATTTGTAAGGTTCTTCAAACCAAAATAAACTGACGAAACTAATTTGAGAAGAGAAAGGAAAAAAAAAAGAAAGCACATGACATGCTAATTTTCTTCTTTCTCGTGTCACGTATTTCTCATCGCAATGGTTCTAAATGCATAGATATAACATTTTTTTTTCTAAATGAGTATTTAATATGTTTTTATATACGCGTCCTTCTAAGTATAATTTTTCATATCAGCATTCTAAATAGAGTTTTGATGTATCCTATTTTGGGATTCAAATCACATGTTTAGTTTTTAGTGTCTAATCACTCACATTATGACACGTCATTTAATAGATATAAACATTAAATTGTTGAAAAGTTAGTTAAAAGTATTTTACATTTTTTAAATGACGTGACACAATTTAATTGGTTAAATATCAATTAAGCACTGTAATTAAATATGTGATTTGAATCCTGAGCCTTTAACTTGATGGTTACTAGGATGCCGTGCCGTTTAACTTGGTGTTTATTATTAATTTTTGGCGTATATGTAGCGGCTTATAAACTTCCTAAAAATGTGTTATAATTTGTTTTGAATAAAGAAAATAATGCTTAATTTGGCTATCAATTGTGGGTGAATTGACACACATATATTTAGAGAATTTTTCTAGTAGGATAAGAAAAAATAAATTATCTATGATTATTTATTTTTAACTGTTAAATTTATATCAAAAACTGTTCTTCATATTTTTTAATTTAATATAATTTTGATCAAATTTAACGGTCAAAAATTAATATTATTAATAGTAAGATTTATCGGAGAAATCCCGTATGTCTAATGACCCCTAAGTCATGTCCTGTCATAAAATGTATTATATAGAGCATATTCATAATCCATTCGGAAAGCATTACACACAAGTGCTTGTCCATGTTTTGTCGCATTGAAGGTCTAGCCACGGCCAAAGCTAAACCAATCCCCTTTTCAGCTTTTCTCTTTTGTTTTTTTCACTTCATTATAGATTAAAGCTTCGCTTTAAATAGAGATATGGTTTTGGAATTTACCAACATGCCAAAAGCCCGTGAATTGGCTGACCAGTTTAAATTAACTATTTAAAAATGGCATGTGATTTATTTCATAAGCCAATCAATAACTTTGTATATACATTGGTAGATATAAACATATATATATATATATATACATGTATATATAATATTAGTTTGAAAATAAGCTAATCAATCACTTGTCTTGTCCTCCATTAGCGTCTGCAATTATGGGCAAAGTGTTTTGCTGCCTGAAAAGTTCTGTTTTTCCATAGCTGGTTTGGTTCGATCTTTCACTTTTGAAATTAATGGGAGTGCCTAACGAATCAGTAGACGAAATTTGATCACATAAAAAAGAAAAGAAAAAGAAAAGGAATGTATATTCTTGTTATTCTCACCCACTAGAATTTTATGATTGAAAAAAGTGGTATTCCGAAGCATTTTTCCTATGAAATTCACCCGTTTTGAAAGAAAAAAGAAGAAAATAAAAGAAAAAGTGAGCGGTGGACCTCATTGGACTCTTGGGCAACTAATAAATTTCTCAAATTTGATATAAGATAAAAGGGGCTCCTTTTCACATGAATTTGTTGCTGATGGGATAAAAAAAGATGTTTTCATGTTGGAGTGCTTGGCAGATCCAATTACTATATGCTATAGATGTGTAAAATTTAATGGAGTAATGCCAAAAGGTATTACTTCTTTTTTTTATTACTTATTCCGTCACATATTAATATTAACCATATAGCATGAAAATGCTAGTGGATATGTTTATAAAGTAGCTTTACGCTTTAGTAAAAAAAAAAAAAAAAAAAAAAAGAGAAAAAAAAACGATATTAGAAACTATGCTCTGTTCATTTTACCGATTCGAGTTTAGAATTTGAATTTTACTGCAGTAAAAAGCTCTCAGAAACAGTCACATTTAACTTTTTTACTACAGTAAAAAGCTCTCACATAAAGTTACATCTCAACTCGAATTAAAAACTCAAATTAGCGAACTAAACGGACTCTCGTGGTATTTCTTAAAATTTATCCATATCAAGCATTAGGCAGTTAACTCCCACAAGGTTTCCACCAAAAGGGGGGAAAAAAAATCCACAAGGTAAATACCTATTCATGGTTATATTATTTCATGAGAAAACACAAGGATATGCTTTTTTCTTTTTTTTCTCTCCTTTAACACAAGGAGCTACGCCTATAAGTAGCCTAGCCTTCTATATATATTTGATCCAATATTTTTGGTACTTTATCAATAATCTGACTGCATAAATATGGATTGATGTTTGTAGTTTTTTCTTCGTATAAACACAAATGGGTGGGGAATGGATAGATGGCAATGGAACTGGTGGTAGAGTAAATGAAAGTTAATGCTCCTCACATGGGCATTTCACATTCTCCCCCACCTTCTGTGGACGATAAGGCTCTCCTCTTCATCATACTCTTAGCTGTCCCCTCTGCATTTTGGACTTTCAGGGGTCATATTTTCAATTACCATAAATTTGTGGGAGCTCCATTGCAAACGCAAGAATATTTTCTCGGGATGATTTGATTTTTTTTTAATTTTAAAAAAAGGTACTCTTTGCCAATCAATTGAATTTAATGTGGCTTTCACTATGATGGAAAGTGAAGTCAAGGTATTCACCCAAACAAAAAAAAAAAAAAAGGTTAAGGAACATGGTGGACGAATTTAATAGGTGAAATTTGAGAAACTATTTGTTTGGTTGGAGTGATTTTTGAACCAAAAAAAAAAAAAAAAAAAAAAAGAAATTGGGCACATAAAAATCTCTTGCAGGACACATATTTTTAAGTCTCTCCAAAATTGTTGATAAAACTGAAGAGAGAGCTTCAAAAAAATAAAAATGAGACTAGTAAATTTATTAAATTATCTTCCTACATTAATAAAATCTTTGTAAAACGAGACGGAATAAAATAGAAATTTCATTAAATTATCCGTACGTTTTCAGTTTATATTTTTAATCTTAGGGTGGTGGGATTGAAATTACGTTTTAGGATGGAATCAAGTACGGCATTAGCGTCAATACCTGCAACCACATTTTCACTTGCAATACTAAACAAGAAAATATAATTTTATTTCCTTCTCTCCTTATTACGCCAAATAACACAACTCTCATTCTTTTATTTATTTATTTATTTTTTTGTTTCACTTTTGAACTCTAGTTATTCACTTATATCCTTTTCTCATATGTAAATTATGCTTAAATGGTAAATTATGGCGTATGCCACTTTTAAAATATAGTTATTCACTCGTTCACTTTGCGAATTTGAGTTTTCAATTCGAGCTGAGATGTGACATTTTCAGAGAGCTTTTTACTGTAGCAAAAAAAGTTAAATGTGATATTTTCTGAGAGTTTTTTACTGTAAAAATTTAAAACTGAAAACTCGAATTGGTGAAATGAATGAGGTCTTATACTACTTTGATTTGAACACCAGACTTCAACTTATTTTAGAAAAGTCTTAAATTTGAATTTTATTCCCAATTTCCCTTTAATTATTCAACCTGGCATACGTAGGCCTGTTCATTTCATCGATTCGAGTTTAGAATTTGAGTTTTACTACAGTAAAAAGTTTTAAAAATAGTCACATTTAACTTTTTTATTACAATAAAAAATTATCACATAAAATTACATCTCAACTCGAATTATAAACTCAAATCAACGAAGTGAACGAGCGCACGTACTCATGCACCGATTTCGTAAGCTTGAGCCCAAAATATGTGGATCAACGTGAAGTGGCCCAATTGGATTCCTCTTCCATCAAAGGAAATTGGGCCGGCCCGGGTCTGGAGCTCCATTAAGAGTCTGGCTGGCAACTTGTTTCCCTTCCTCGTTTAGGGGCTAGGGTTTTAGCACTTTTCCAATTCCCAATTCAAGTTTCCTAATTTCTTCTTCGAGGGTTTTTCTTTTAGCTCCGTACTATCATCATCAGCCATGAGGAAGCTCAAGTATCACGAGAAGAAGCTGTTGAAGAAAGTCAACTTCTTGGAATGGAAGAGGGACGGAGGTCACAGAGAAGCCCGGGTTATGCAGCGATATCATGTCACCGGTCGCGACGATTACAAGAAGTAATTTTTTCTTTTCCTGAAGAATTTTTTTTAGTTATTTATTTTTCTTGTCGCATTATTTGTTTTTTTTTTCCCCCCTAATCAATCATGCCCTTGTGCATGTTATAATTTCTTTTTTTTTTCCCCTGAAAAAAATTAATAATTGGAAACAGATATTCGGGTTTGTGTCGAATGGTGCATAGGCTGGTGAACATTTTGATGAAGATGGATGGGAAGGACCCTTTTCGTATTGAAATGACCGACACGCTTTTGGAAAAATTGTGAGATGTTATTTTTTTTTAGTTTCATTTTATTTGTTATCGTCAGTTGTATTTTCTCAAATTGTTGCCTTTGCTTTCTTGTTAGAGCTTCATTTCGTAGAGGAAAGGAATACTTCTTCTTGATCACTTGTTGAGAAAAGGTCTTTAAGTTTGGTGTGGTTGGGTTGTTTTTTTTTTTTTTTTTGGGTGGGGTTGATTAGTTTGAGAAGAAAAATGGTTACGGAATTTAATGAAGTATTTTGTGAATAAAGAAAATGTTAGTGTCCTTATGGGAAGCTCTTAGTTTGAGTATTCAGTTTATTTGAAGTTGTGAAGAGGATATGAGCACGATATGTTAGTGTTAGGGTGTACTTCTTGTAAGTGTAACACTGACAACAGTTATCTTATCTTAGAATTTAGAATGTTGTTCATCCATATGTCTGAATTTCTTGTCATTTTAATTGTTGTTGATGATTTAGAGTTTATGTTTTTAACAGGTACAATATTGGTGTGATACCATCTAAACAAAGCTTGGTTTTATGTGAGCGATTAACGGTCTCTGCTCTCTGCAGGTAATTATTCTGTAAGATTATGCCTTTAAAGAAAATTGTGGTCATACTTGTCAGATACTACAAAGAATGCTAGTTAAAGATTATTTATTCATTTATTTTTTGCTAGATAGCTTGTTAGTGAGCCAGCTGAGTTATTCATTTCCTTAATTTCAGATTCTTTTTGGGTCTTTGTTGTCCATTAACTCGAATTCTTTTCCTCTTTCCATTTTTCGGTTTCTCTGCAGACGCAGGCTTTCAACCATTATGGTGCGCTTGAAGTTTGCCGAGCACTTGAAAGAGGCCGTCACATACATTGAGCAGGGACACGTACGAGTTGGTCCGGACACAGTTACCGACCCAGCATTCCTTGTGACAAGGAATATGGAAGACTTCATTACATGGGTAGATTCCTCAAAGATAAAGAGAAAGGTGCTTGAATACAACGATCAGTTGGATGATTACGATGCAATGAACTGAGAGAGCCAGAAAGGCGCTTGGGGGCTGAAATAAATTATTCAACATTCGTTATCATTCATATCAAGATGTTGTAGTTTTTTGCTCGACTAGGGAAAAGAAGAAGAAGCCCATAAAACTGTTTACTCTGAAATGTCTTATGATCACATCAATGGTCGCCTTAGTTGTCTTCTATAAGGGGTCCACCTGGTTGACATAACTCAGGAGAACTATATTGCAGTTCTTTGGGTTTATTATATTTGTCGTTTTTTTTGAGAAATTATTGCAACTAAAATTTTCTATTCCTGAATTCACTCTTTTGGGGAAGAAGTCTATCATTATATTTGAACTGATAAGTGGTCATCAACGGTAACCCAAAATTTATTTTCGTGATTACAAGCACATGTGAATATTTCAGCATAGCAGTACCCAATACAAGACAACTTACATGAAAAGCTTGTTAGTTTAAATTTATGATGATTTGAATTTGTGGGATTAAAATACAAATACAAGAACATCAGGCCGAAAAGGGGAAAAAAAAGAAACGTGTAAATTAGGGTGGGCACCACTCTTAAAAGTTAATTATTGAACTTTTATGTATATTAGACTTAAAATTTTTCTAAACTAAAATTCTATTGACACCTCATTTTTTGCTCTCTACACTCTTTTTAACTACACACTCCACATAATTGTTAAATGATTAAATTTTCTTTTTACACCTTTATTATTTTAAAATTACCCCTAACTATTATAATAAAATTATTAAGAATAGTTTTATTTACATCCACTCTTTTCTCTCTACACCCACCTTTTTACTCTCTACACTCTATCTTTTGTTTATATCTCTTTATTTTTTTATTTACTGTCTTTCTTTTCTTTTCTTTTCTTTTTTTTTTTTTGATAATGAGCAACTTTTAAAAACCAAAGTCCAAAAAAGAAAATTCTTATTTTAATTTTTGTCACCTGAGAAGTAGTAAATTCATTTACGAATCTGAATAAATATTATTGCATTGAATATAAACTTTATCCTGTAAAAACGTTTAAAAAAAAACCAAGTTAAAACAATTAAAAAAAAAGTAAATGAAAACAATTAAAAAACATAAGCCCTCATATTGCATAGTGGACAAACTGCATCAAGATATCTATACAACTATGTGCATAAGTGTTTTAGCGCCCACGACCACAAGCAGCATTTTTAGAGAAGAAAGAGAGAGAATAGACCGAAGGGAAATCATAATCTCACATTACGAAAAATGAAACAAAATAAAATGATTAGCTTAAAAAATTGATTAGTAAACAAATATAAACACAAAATGAAATACAATAGTAAAGAAAATTTAACATACCATGTAATTTTTGAAAATAGTGATTTAAAGGTAGAAATTAGAGTTTTGCTATAGATTTTTAAAATAGAAATAATTTATAATTTGTCAATATGATAATGGGGTGAGTGTATGGAGAAAAAAAAAAGACCCTCTATCATTAATTTTCCTTTCGTAATAAAATTTAATTATATAATTAAATCTATTGCCCTTTTTGGTCATTTTATTTAAGGGTGTTTTCGTAATAAGAAATTTTTAATTTAAGGGGGTGTAGAGATTAAAAAGAGAGGTGCACCACCTTTAGTTTATTGCTTATACTGTTATACATGCATAAGCATAACAGCTTAGAGCACTTCTTTTTCTCTCTCTCTCTCTCTGTTTTTTTTTTTTTTTTTTTTGGTTGCTAAAACATCTTAGAGCACTTAATTGTACGTACAAAGCACGTTTAATGGGAAAGCATAATTCATTGCCAAGGAGCCGCATGTGTTCAATGGAGACTCAAAGTTGGATAAAACATGTATAGTTTATAACCCCGTTTCTCTCTTCTGGGGATCAATCAAGATGAAAATTCATGTACAAAGGTCATTAATTTTTACATCGTAAAAAGCTGCACAAACCAATATAGTGCATGAAGACACGTACAATACTCCCCACTTTTACATTATATAAACTAGGTTTTCCCTGCGTTGATTGCAGCGTGCACAAAATCCTCGCACTGGGTAAAGCTGCCGCATAATACATCAGCTAGCACGCCAATGATGTCAAAAGCCTCCTGCAAATCGGTGGCGGAGTTCATCTCATCGAGCCATGACAAGAGCTCCTTAGAGAATCCGACCATCTCCCTAACATTCAGTAGTCGCTCTTTCATCACTACTTCCCAAGCTTCCACACTGTCATCATCCCCTTCTGGTACAGCAGAAGTCCCTTCTCTTTTAGCTGACGCCACATTTGGTGACTTTTTGACCTTGAAGAAATGTTGCAGCTGCTCAATTAGGCCTGTGTAGACAAGCATCGGTCGGACAATAGGCAAAAGATCATCAGCATTCCTGGTTTCTGAAGTAGGGCTTCTGCTGGTACTCCCCGATTCTATTTTGATAATAGATGATGGTGCACGGGCAGATGACCAACCATGAGTGTGTTGCATGTATGCATGATATATTCCACGCTGCAAGAAGGCACGCCGATGTTGCAGCCACGATTCATAAGACTCTGAAAGAAGTGAATTTACCATCATAAATTGGACAGTTTCTTCAGTGCCTTGAGAAGGTTGTGTTCCAGGAGTGGAAGGTCTGGATTCTGCTGTAGAAGATGTCAAATATGTTGTTACTGCCTTGGCCATGGTACGGCACTGAGAAGGGCTTCCTTGATCAAGAAGGTGACGGGCCATTTGGATCATGAAAGGAAGAAATCTAGAATTACTCTCCCTTCCGCCACCTCTACTTTCTGCACTGAATGATGCCCCTGTTGCAAAACGAGCAAGCATCTGCAAGAGAACATGAAATGTGAGCTCAGAAGCACATTAAGCTAGAGTGAAAATCATCATCTAATAGATCCAGACTTGTAAAAAACAAATACAAACATAAAATGCAACGGTAAAACTCCAGGAAAATGTGTTATACCATAACAATGTCATAAGTTAATAGCCTAAGTCGGCTCCCATCAGCACGACCAAGAGCATTGAGGTTGTCCCAGTATTGGTCAACATAGCGAACATATTGTGCTAGCGGAACTGATGGACCTCTCACAGGGAAGAGAGAATTGCAAAGAGATTCGTTGTTCCTTAGAGTAGCTCCTTCCCACTCTTTCTTTGGATTCTTAAGTGCGGCGTCGGCTCGTTTAGCCTCCTGATGGCACTGGAAATGAATAATGTTGAAATAACTGACTGTGGTGTAAACACAGTCCGCATGAGCATTACCAGAAGTCTTAGCACCCAGATTCACCCGCTTGCTGTAAGAGTAAACCCCCAGCAAGTCCGTTGGCCTCAAACTATAGCCCTCACGGCACACCATGCATGCCAACCCATCCTCTTCCTCTTCCACATCTTCAAAACCTTCAAGAAGTGGACGAGCAACAACAATACGCTCACCACCATCTGATGCTAGCTCCTGACGCATTCCAAGCCCCTGGACGAGACAGTGTTTCCCAAGAAAATTAGCAGCTTCTTCATGATAAAAATTAACCACCCTAGTTTCATCAACAGAGATATTTGCAAAATATTCTCTAGTCTGTATTATATACAATTCTCCTGGAGAATTCATGTAACCACTGTAAAGTAAATACTATATATTAGACATAGTTGTATGTACTTTATTGTGCTCGGAAGAAAATGTCAACTGAATGGTGGAATAAGTTCACGGTACGTACCTGGAGCAATTGTTCTCTCTTCCTTAAAGCTAGGCGCCTCATTTCATCCCTAGTGGCATGCCTCAACCTTCTCACCTTCTCCTCCAAGAAACCATCTCCATTTCCCTCCTTATTAGAAAGTGTGTCGAGCAAGTTTTCAGCCCTAGCTCCAATCTCATTTTCTCCAGTGGCACCTTCAAGGACGTGGAGCAATGGTAAAATCTCCCCTTCATCGATGCACCTCTGAGTTGCCAAATGCCCCATAGACAAACCCCTCAACATAGACAATATCAAAGGCACAGATGGCAATTTTAAACCCAACGCCCATTCTGCACTAGATTTAAAGCCAGCTTGCCCGGCAACTGCAAAACTATCCCTCAGGTGTGCAACTGCAACACCTGTGATTCCCCTCTCGAGGATGATGTCTTTCAGTCTCTCCCCGCAGGAACTTGTTTTAAGAGACTCTGAAACTCGAACAAAATTTTCCAATGTGAACCTCTGCTTAGCAGCTTGTTGGGCAATGCTCTCATCTTTGGGGTTGTCTTCATATTGTTTTTGCAACCTGTCGAACTCATTCCAGTCTTGCAAGTATGGGCTAAAATGCTCGATAAGTGCTTCCATTGCTGCAGGCTCACCATACGTTAGGTAGGGAAGGATTCTTGCAACCATCTCAGTATTCCTTTGCTGTTTGTTTGATTTCTTAAGGCCCAAAGGATGGGACAATCTCTCCAGGAACATGAGAACAATTTTCTTGGCCTGTTCACCTGTTTCTTCACTGCTAACAGTAAGAGCATTCTGCGTGATGCTAATATTGTCACTTTCATTTGCTTCCAGTGTTAGAGTCTCCACAATTAAAAGAATACCTTCAGCTGGCTCCATGGCATCCACAGAGAAAGCACGCCTTGCAGTTTCAAGTAGCAGACCTAAACCCCCTAACCTCAACAATGCTCGTCTGTTCTCTCTTATTTTACAGCAATGCATTAGAAGATTAAGGACTGCTACCAACTGTTCTTGGTTGGATTTGAAATCATCTCTCAAACGCTGTACAAGGAAACAAAAATAAGATGTTTCATTTTTTGGAGAGCACAACAGGAACTTTGCAGTTCAAAATTTGCTCCAAGGACTAGTTTTTAGCACAGCGCCTTGATGAATATATTAAAACAAATAAATAGATAAATAAACAGAAAACACCCTTTTCGTAATATAGACTACTTTATAAATTGCTGTTTTATATCATGACTGTCTCACTTGGGTTACCAATTAATCTAATTTTTAACAAAATTATCCCGTCTCCGCAGCATCTCTTATGGTTCTACATACTATAGCAATCAAAAATCCATGTAGAGCCAACCAAATTTAAAGACAGCAGAAAATTTTTTATTTATTTATTTTTTAAAATTAAGTTTTCACGGCTAAACTGATAATGACAAAATTGAATATATAGGTTTCAAAGTCGACTCAATAGACTTTCAAGCCAAAAAAATCCATGTACAGCCAACCAAATTTAAAGACAGCAGAAATTTTTTTATTTTTTTAAATTAAGTTTTCATGGCTAAACTGATAACGACAAAATTGAATATATAGGTTTCAAAGTCGCCTCAATAGACTTTCAAGCCAAAAAAAGAGACGTATATAGATTTCAAGTCACCTCAATAGACTTTCAAGCCAAAACAAGAAGTGTTGCCTCATAGACAGTAGCATAATAATTCACACACCTGGATCATTCCCAATATAATTTCTAGCCCACCATACTCTCGAACAGCACCAGCAATTGCAAACTCAACCTCTGGATCTTGCGACTCTTCTCTATCTTCTTCCAACTCTTTAATCATTGGCTCAGTCGCCTCACCATCTAATCCCTGCCAACAGTACAACACCCATTGATACGGCTCTTTTTTAAAAAAAAAAAATGATGCCTCTCCTATTAAATGTATACACATGCTCTGAATAAAACAGATATTTTCTAACAAATGAAACCCGGAAAAAGAAAAGAAAAATTATGATATACCAACATCATTTTCTTAATAAGGATTACGGTTTGGTTTGGGTAGCTTATAGGCTGAAAAAACACCACGCTAAAAATTCAACTTTTGTATTTGAATATACCCTCAGTTTCACAATATAGCAACCAAACAAAACCAACCTGCATTGGTTTGTTTGGTTTGATTTGGCTTACATGTTTTGGGCTGTTAATAACACAGAAGCCCGTTTTTCATAGAAAATCATCAAAGAAAAGTTAAGCTTTACAAACCTGAAGCCGATAAGTCACAGTCATAGGGGGACAATCTCTTCCTGATGTAACAACATTAGAAGATAACAAGGTTGTATTAGACAGCGCATTTGAAGAGTGATTCGATTTCTTCCAGACTTGCTCATATACTTGTGCTATGCTTAAATCAAGAGATATGATATTCCCAGCAACTAGCAACTCCATGCCAAAGTCATCTTCCAGAAGACCTAATAGATCCAACTGATGGCAAATTTTATTCTTTACATTGCGCATCAATGGACCAATCTCAGCACTAGAATAAGGATTCTTCGTCATTGACCCTCTGATAAACTCTTCTTGAGTATGTGCCTTATTTAGCACCAACAGATATACTGGCTCTGGTTTTGATGGGCAAATCAGATTGCAGAGCTGCTCTAGGATAAACTGTACATATGATTGAAACAAGAAAAAAGTTAGCACCAAAAGCAAAAAGGGAATTTCACAAGTATAACTTATCACACATTAAAAGGTTCAAGCGGCAGCTACAGAGGAAAGCCAATGCATTCATCAAATATAATGTTTAGTTTCATCCATACCAGGCAAGTTCGTCCTTTTCTCTCCTCTCTGTGAATTTGCAATCCACATATACAGGCTCGGATGAATTGCCGCTTATTTTCACTGTTTTCAAGGAGAAGACTATCTAACAGATCTTTCAGAAGCCGATTGCAATCACTAATTACCTTTGTCTTCTGCACTATCAGGCCGCGGATAACAATAAGAGCCTCCAGAACTTCAGAGAGCAGATTGTCGTGCATGAATCTAGCATAAATATTTGAACAGAGAGGATATATGTGAATGATATAGTGAAATATTATACGATTTACGTTACAGCATAAAATGCAAAATAGACTCTGAAAAGTTTTAAGAAAAGATTTGACACGATTAAAAATATCTCAAGCAGTAAATAATAATAATAATAAAAAAGAACAACAATAAACAACAAGAAGAAAAAATTTGGTAAGAAAGCAAGAATACCTGGACCTAATATTGGGAACCTCCAAAAATTTACCAAGAAGCTCTATAAGTTTATGAAGAATAAATCCCTGGGAAATGTCAATGCGCAGGCTCCTTTCCAGAGATTCAACATTTCCCACCTCTTGTGTAATTAGTTTACAAATGGTGCGTAGACATCCTCGGACAGTTAAGAAAAGACGAGAATCTTCCGACTCTATCATTTTGAAGAGCAATTCAAAATACTCTGCAGCACTTTCTCCAGCAGAAAGGGTTTCCGGTAACAAAGACACAAGCAAGTTCAACAACCGAAATCGTCTTGATGAACTCTGGGCACAGAGCAAACTTATCAACATGCACATTTCCGACCTTATAGATTGAGAACAAGCACTCAGAACAAGTTCTGTAACCCATGAACCCAGCTCGAACACTGATAAATCACTTCTGGTATTCTTAGTAGCACGGCGCTTCCACCTAAGAGCATATTTGAGAGCCAGGAAATCTTGTCTTTGGGGCCGCGACCTCTGGGTACCACCTTTGATTGCCTGGGACACTTTGTATTGCCTTCTGACAAAATCAAGATAAGATGCGCCCTTCTCCCATTCTGCATAGCTTAGTAATTGAATATCCTGGTTTCGTTGAGAAGCGTCCCAATTTTTCTCTGATTCTGGAATAGACTTGCTTCCACTGACGAGTCCAGCAAAAGATGCAGAAACATTTAAGTTGCTTTCCTCCTTAGTCTGTGAAATGGAACTAGATTTTCCTACGCTAGATTCTTTGTCTGCTCCATCAGGTTTTGGAGGCGTACATGCCTGGGATATAATCCTCAAACAAGGGAGAATAATATGCTCGGATATTGCAGGATGTTTGGCACCCAATTTGATGGAAGAAAACAACAGCTGAAAAACAACACGCAACCTTGATTCCCAAAACTCATCAGTCAAAGAACATACTTCTGAAAGCAAAGACAATTCTTCACGTGTGGCAAGGGCAATGTCCATGGAGCGATGATGTTCAAGGCAATACATAACCTTCCTCTGTATTAAACTGTTCAATTCAGTCACTGCATTTATGTCACCCTCTGAGAACGCACAAAGAACAGCCCTAGCTTGGATGCGAGCTGCTTTAGGACCTTGGTGAATATTATTTTCAAATAACTCCGATAAGATGCCAGCTGCAACAAGCTGTTTCTTAGAATTTGGATGCTTTGACAACACCTGCAAAATCTCGAGACATTGAATCACAAATGTACTAGCACAGCCATAACAATTATTTGGGGACCTTGAAACCACAAATCTTGATGAAGCTACTCCACTATCAGAGTTCTTCTGATGCAAATAATTCATCAAAACCCGACGTAGCCCTTGCAATGTCTGTACACTTTTGCTTACAGAATCAAAAGCTGCTTTGCACTTCTCACCATATAGGACACCAAGGAGAGCTATTTTACGATTTATCTTACATGAAGGTCCAGGCAATGAGACCATCATTTGCTGCACGGAGTCCTTCTGCTGCGAGTCCATTTCATTCTCACCTATGCTTGATACAATCTTCAGAAGGGGCTTCTTGAATCCCAAAAGTTGCTGATATCTTCTGTGGGCATTTTCTGATTCCGATTCAATTGCAGCCAACCCTTTCTTCATATCTTCGTCGTTCTCCATATTATCAAAGGTAAAACTTGGTTTTGCCATGAAATTGAACTCAAACCTGCCATACTTACTGTATCCACATTCATTGCACAAGAAAGAGTCCAGATTTTCATAATTGATGTTACGGCATTGTCTGCACTGATATGCATTCTCATGGCAGTTGCCACAGATACCGTGCTTATCTGTAACTGGTCGGCTGCAACGAGGGCACTGCAATGGTTCGAGAGATAAAGCCTGAAGATTCTCATAAAAGGAATCCAACTCAATCATGAAGTTACAAGCTGTTATCGGAATAGGGAATTCTACTTTCAGTTCTGTTTGGTTGAAAGCAAGATGACAACTCTTAGCACGCTTCCACAAGGACCAATTATTTTTCAGCTCTGACAAGTCAGCCACAGGTCGATTGTTGTAATACAAATTCAAAACTTTCACGGATTTAGACTTCCTGGCATCATGAACATTCATGGTCACTGTCTGGATGGTGTAACTACCAGTGCATTTCACTATTATACGGTTGTCAGTAAATTTTGTTTCCGATTTCAGACTTTCTAGCTTCATCCTGCTGTAGGGTACCTCAGGTGAGCTACAAGCAACACAAGGCTCACTCTCAAGATAGTAACCATCAAATTCAACTAGTCCACTTAAAGTGTTGTATATCCGAGAATTTGGATGATTAGCTAAAAGCTCGTTCTGGGAATGAAGTGTTTCAAAGATGGACCTAATTACATCAGAGGTCAAACATCGGTCCACAAGTTCAGCATTTTGTTGCTTCAGACTGGAATCAGGAACTTTTCCCAACAACCACGTGATAAGTTCAGTATACTCAACGATGTTCTGACCGTACATTGGTAGACACTTTACTTTCTGCAAGAGGGCCGCCAGCATGGTTTCCCTGAATGAATGCTTTGCATGATGCCAGACACCATAAAGAACGGACTTGGCCTCTGCACGGACAGAACTCGAATTCCACTCCAGCAGAAAGTATTCAATGAATTGCGTTAAGATTTCTCCACCCTTATCAGTGAAGATCTCAACGGCAGACTCCATATCCGAACAGGACTTCTCTGAACCAGTTTCAGCTCCATCTTCACCTTTCTTTTTCTTCTTTGGTTCCAGAGATTGTGCACCCGTTTTGTTTGAACTGATTCCTGAATCTGCAGCTTCATTTTTCTGCAGAGAGTTGCTGACATCTTTGCCTGTATAGAAGGCCAGATTTAAAAGCTTCAGAGCCTGAACAACTGACTCTTCTCCAAGATAAAATACTCCATTCATCAAGAAAGGTAGAACATCTCCATGCCTCAAACAGTACTTCTGCCAGTTTCGAGGCCGTGCCGCTGCTGCTTCTGCCATAGTACACAAGGACTTCACTATCTTAACACTTCTCTCATATGGTACAGGATTATGAAAACCACCTGATTTGTTTATATGTTTGAAAAGTTTCTTCATCTCACTCAAAAACTGCCAAGAGTCTCTGACACTGTAGTAGTGAGTTTTGCTTCCACAGAGATGCAGGAAAAGTCTTCTGGCATATCTTCTCACGAAATTTGTGTGCGTATTGTTAATGTAACTACAGAGAACGTCCTGATATCCTTCTAGTTTCAAATCCTTGCCAGGAGAAATCTTGAAAACCTTCTCTTTCTCCCCAGTCTTATCTTGCTTTTCTGGTCGAACCAGGGAATACACCAACCGAAAAGTATTCTCCAACAATAGTCTATGATAGTCCGCAAAAATATCTGTGCGATGAGCTTTAGCGTACGAGTCCGAGAAAAAGGGAGAGAAGTTACCTGCTGGCAAATCCCTTCGGACTGTTAAGAGAGCTCCACAACCAGAGCCAGGACTCCCATTTTCATGACCAGTGGCTGGGGACTTGAAAACATGCACCAGCTGCTGCAGGATGTCCATTAAATAGCTGACAAAAGATTGTTGCCTAAGTGAATTGCAAGCTTGAAGCAGCTGGGATGCAAAATCATTCTTTTCTTGATCATCAGAGGAAGATGATGGTGCAGTAGAGGGTGCAACATGGCCAACAGTTTTATCACGTGTGTCTGTAGTAGGTTTTGAAGTGGAACCATCACTACCAGGTTGATGCCAGTTCCGAAGCATCAAGGTGAAGAACATGAAGACTAGAATTGCAACTTCACCAAAAGAAGAGCGGGTCCTAGCATCAAAAGGCTGGTTAAGATTAATTTCAACCAAAAACCATTTAATTAATTTCTCCAGATCTAAGTTTTCAGACTTTGAAACGTCGATGAAAGGTCCACCAACAGCTGATGACAATCGATAGAAAAGCTGCATAATAGGGATTGCCCGAACACCAGAAGTTGACTGCATCCATCCTTTTAACTGTTCAAGAAGCTCAGACAAAATCAAGGAATTCAGAGCCCGTTTTGAAGCAGAAATTGACACTGTGTCATTCACTGAGGCAGAAAACTCTCCAGATTCATTGGGTTCTAGGACATGAATTGATGGAGCGGAATTCTGAATGCTGGAATCTGTCGGACCTGGCAACATACTTGGATCACTAGTGTCATCAGGTGTGAAGTGAAATTCATTCCCGTCTTCCCCCAATGATTCCACTTCAATTGGAATTGCTTTCATTGGATGATCTCTAGAATGTGGCAGAGGAAGCCTGTCAGCATCTAGTACTTCATAGCAGGCTTCACATAAATCAAAATCAGGACAAATGGTACAATGCCATCGCCTTCTAAGTATAGGAACAGTGGAACAACCATCACAACAGTATTGTACGGATGAATTGATAGAATCTTCCTCATTCAGTACTTGCGCATTTCTACTAGTTGCTTCAGCAGGCATACTAGCTACTGCATTTTCCACGGCATCATCTGTAGCCAACATGGTTTGCTTTGGAAACGGAACTTGAAGCAATCTTGAAGATATAGCCAAGCTGAAAGGGAAATGTAAGTTTTAGTTAACACCTAGAAATAGAACTCCAAAATTGGTGTATTTGAATAAGGTTTTAACTACCTGCTAGAAGTCTGAACAGCTTCATTAGGGGAAAACATAAGCTTCTTAAATAAGCCAACAGCTGGAGCAACAGAGTGCACTCCTGGCTCCTTTCCATGTAAAGCGAGACACTCCGCATAACAATAAATGAGTTCAACAGATGATACAACAATATTATTCATAGTTTGTGTGTCAGGCTGCTCAAAATCGAGAATTCTCCAAAGTACTTGCATTAGGCCATCTACCACTTCAGAACCTATATTAGATGGGAAGCACAGTTAGTTATGCAATAAGTAACATCTTCTGTAATTTATTAAGTGAAAAGCAACTGGAATCACCTAGAAAATGACTAGAATTGAGAAAAATAATGTCCTAAATTTGGCTAAGTTATACAAATAAACCTATAAATTTAATTAGAAAATAAATATATTGGTGGACCAGCTCCTATAAAAGCTTAAGCTTTTGGGAGAATTCGCAAGTTAATAAATATGACAAAAACCACAATTTCACTTTCTTAAGGACACAATATTTTAGGAATACAATATTCATGCTTTGGATCAGATCACCTACGTCTATAAGAAGTAACAAATAAGAAGCTAAAACAATATGGCATATCTGGAAACATATGTACCATTTGTTTCAAGAAAGGTCGCCAAGTTAGAACGACGGTGCAATGCAATCTTAGAGACTGCACGCATCTGGGCTGTAAACTCATCAATTAGACATGCTCCAGCAATACCACCAGCTCCAAGCCTCGACGAGAGTGCAGAAGTTGATTTCACCACTCCAAGAAGCCGCATGGTGTCCTTAACCTGTGTTAGGAGATCTTATCAGTGACTGAATAATGCCTAAATTCATACACAAATGTTCAAACGAATACAATGTACATTCTGAGTTACAAAGGACCATGGCAATAGAAATTACATGATAATATATATCTTTTTTCGGAAACACAGCCTGCAACACATGGCAAGCAGCCACCTGCAACAAGGGTTCTCGGTCACTTTCAAATATCTTTTCAAGTAATTGCCTGCACTTGAGTTTGCTTAGCTCTGAATGTACTTCCTCAACCATTGAGCATCCTTGTGACCTACACGATGAATAAAGTTTGGACAGAAGCTTTAAGCCATCTGCAATGACCTGCTCTTGGACAGAGGCAGACTGCATAGACCGGCGTTTTCTACCAGATCCAGAAAGGGAGGAATTACAACCAAGCACACGAGCTTCCATGTCCAGTACAGCATCCATTTTCTCTTTCCAACCAAACTCATCCTTAGCCCTACCATATACTTCAAGAGAGTCAATTCTAGGCAGTGCAGAGCCATTAAAAGATGACCCAACAGAGATTGTAAACTCTTCATCAGCAAGAAGTGATTCAGCAACTGTGAATGGTATATCATACCAAGATCGCATCCCCTCATCTAATTTGATAACCCTCTGGAAAATAGTAATTTCAGAAGGAATATGGTTTGCAGATGTATTACCCACATGCAAACGAAAACCAACCATAACCACATCAGGGTTTGAATTGAAGACGGATATCTGGAAAAGACAATGACAAAAATTCATAATTAGATAAGCAAAGTAACCAGACAATGTGTATGTGATGAAATTAAGCCAAATCGTATATACGCTTGATGAAATTAAGCCAAATCATAGATATGCTACTAGTAAAATGAATTTCTGCAAGGTTCTCATATAACAGGAATCCTCAATCTCTTTTCAAAAAAAAGAAAAGAAAAGAAGTAGGAATCCTGGATCAAATAAACTAGAAAATAAAAATGAAACGAAAAGGCTAAGAGAAATGAAATAAGGCAATGGAGGCAATGTAAAGTAAACAAAATGGAGCCATTGTAGAGAATCGGCACCTAGATCTAGAAGAAGCAATTCCAAGCAAGCGTCATAAACTACACAACAATACCTTAAATCCTGATGGGCTGGGGCTTTCCAAAAAGCCATCCTCAGATGCCAAGCTCTGTTTCGCTCCTTCAGAATCCCCATTTCTAATCGCATCAGCACCCAGTTTAACATCTGAGGTTATGCAGACAGTCTTCTCAAAGAAATCCAGTGAGAAGTCCGGGTTCACACCAGCATAAGCCTTGTTGCTGAGAATACCCGAACCCAATTTTTTAACCTTCTCTGCTGTTAAATTAGTAGCAGCATCAACTCCTACTGGAACATGTGAGTATATCTGAAGGCTACCATCATCATGTAAGACAAGACAATGAATTTTGTCTTTGGATAAAGGCTTGTAAGCAGTTACGCCAACTAAAGATGAGGTTGAACCTACTGCATGCCGCAGGTTCTGAGCAAATAACTCATTAGAGCCCATGGATACAGCCAGAACTGAATTTGATTTTACACTTGAGGAGCAAACAAATAATCCAGTACCAGCCAGCAACTCTTTCCAACGGTGCAGCCCTGCTGGTCGCAACTTACCATCTTGTTCTTCCTCATACACAGCAGATGTCTCACTTAGAGATGTAGCATTAGGGCTTAGCCTACCTACCAAAGTAGTGCCATCCTGATAAGACACAAACAGTAACTTATAGGTTGATGAGAAGTACAAAGAAGAGCCCTTTGCATGTATATTTCCGCCCTGTATTTGAACTATTTCTGTCAATGGGGTAGCCCCAACCATGCCTTCTACTGACAACTCTAGTTTGTATAAATTTCCCTGTTCTGAAAGAACAATCAGGAACATCTTTCTCTGAGCCACAAAAAGTGTTGCATCAACGATCATGTCATCTGGCAAGGTGAAGTAGTGGACAGGACTTATGTTATCCTGAGATAGATCATATATTTTGACGAATTTGTTGGTAACCACCATCAACTGAACTTGAGAACCTGGAACCCACTCCACCCGTCTGATATACGCACCTTGGAGTGCAAGTTCAATGGCAAGACGATCAGTCACCTCACCACGTGGATTCAATGTGAGCACCTGGCAGTCTTCGTAGCCCGCTACAGCAAGGTAATTCTCCATCACTGAATTGAAAGTAAGATGCACAATTTCAAAGCGAACAATGTTCTTAGACAGAGGCTTAACATTTGTCTTGTCTGCTGTCACAGGTGCAATGGTGGCTTGTCCGATTAACTGACCAACATCAAATATGGCAACTTTGTCACCTTCTCCAACTGCTAGTCGCCCTCGACTACTGACACTAAGCAAAGATTTGACAAGAGATCCACTAGCTAAATGTGATTTAAGTTCCTTGGCATTCGAATAGTCTGCCTTTATCTTCAAGTCCAATGACCCACTTTTATATGCCTTCTTCAGTTGCAAGAGATCAACAGCGAACGTAAGGACCTTGTCTTTACCAAGACTGATTTTATTATCCTTTGAGAGATTAGAGTCCCGTTTACTAGTTATAGAAGGCAACAAAGAAGAACAAAGGTCAAGCATCCGAGCTTCAAAATCAAGTTCTTCAAGCAGTAGTGGGATCCCATCTTGAAGCTCTCTTTGAATGTACAACCTCGTTGTATTATCCACATCTGTATTAGTATCCTCGTCAAGATCTGAATCACTTTCTGGCAGCTGATCTCCATCCTCTGGGAATGGTAAAAATGACTGAAAATTACTGGCATTACGAACTGGTGCACTGCTGCTTCCAGTGAATTTGCGTGGCTTTAAGCATTGACAATTGCTCCCTCTGACTCCACCAGCTCCACAATCACAAAAGAAACGACTCGAACGAGAGTAAACAACACGATGACCACGATGACAAACTTTTGCACACACAGAGCAGCATCCTTTTGAGACAGTCAGATCACATGTGTAACAAAAGTACCAGTGTTGTTCCATGAAATTGCTACCACTGGATGTAAATGTGCAAACTCTAGAAGCAAGGGCCTTTTCACTGTTACTATCCTCTTCCTCATCCTTATCTAAGCTGGCGACCTCACCATCAGAAGTTCCATCATCCTCATCCTCATCTACAGAAGTTCCATCACATTCAAGAGTAGTGGATCCCCCTTCTTGATTAGCAGAAAGAACCAATGTTTCAGAGTTCTTCCTTGAGCCTACAGGCCTAGAAGTGACAGGTCCCACACCGAAAGTATTGCTGGACAAAGAATTTCTTGAAGACCTTTCTGGGAAATTTCTCCCAGAGCCACAGTCACTTAAAACAATTCCAAGAAATCCAAAAAGGAATTTTAACCCAGGCAGTAGACGTTCATCACCAGCCAGCTTCTCCATCAACATCAAAGTCCTCTTTAGTAGCAGTTTCATCGAATTTTCACCTTTAGCCAGTTGGATAGTAAAATGGAAATAAGACTTGGCTACATGAATATCAAATAGCATAAATGCAAGATCAAGAGATCCCAGGACCGCTTCAAAGATGTGGGACTGCAGTTCTCTTGATTGCAACTCAGAAGGTGAGGACACAAGACATAAAATGAAACTCATAGTTGATTCTCTGAGTGAAACAGAACATCCTTTTCCACTGCTGACTCCACCTGAAGCCTCCATGATGGAACCTAAAAGTCTCTTTTCCAACCACTTTGACAGGCAAAGCAAATCCATTCCGAGGAATTTTTTTTGTATCTTCTGCTTGAGATCAGGACACAACTCTCCAGCTAACAGATCCAGAAAGAAGTTAAGAACCTTCACATTAACTGATTCCGAATAACAATTATCCAGAGAATTGATTAGAACCAATAAATCACCACGTTGGAGCTCAGAGAGCTCCTTCAGCTTCTCTGAAGCATCTTCTACACCAAGATAAAATTTGAAAATATCAAACTTTGAAGGATCTTTCCTGAGACTGTCCATGGTATCAATAGCCTTGGTAATTATGCTCTCAAGGATACTGCTGTCACTAACTCCCCTCACAGTGATGTCCCTTAAAAATCCCTCCATGTGAGCCAGTAAAAATAAATTGGAATAATCTGGTCTTCCCAATCCCACAACCAAGGTATCGCAAATTGCATCACACTTGTCATGAATGCTTTCAAAGATCCGATCAAACTTGACAGTCATCACGGTATCAAGGATCTGATGAAGTACCTCAGTCCCAAAGCAAACTTTTTCTCTAACACCTTCTATTTTGAGAAGTCCATCAAAAACGGAGATTATCCCTCTTATTCTAAGAAGACAAGAAAGAAGGATTCCGCTAGGAACATGAAGATTAAAAGGAAAGCCATGCAACATAAACTCCCAAGAGAAATTCGAAACTCCTGGAGCTCTTTTGTCAAGAATAGCATCCAACTTTGGTAAGAGGTCAAAAACAGACTCCAGCTGGGCAGAACTAGTTTGAATCTTCTCAATCTCGTCCAGAAGGCCTCTTTCAAATCCAGAATGCTTTAGGAGCAGTAAATGTGAAAAAGTATCAGCACCCTTCTCGCTGTTACCAAATGTAGCCAGAATACCTTTCTGATGAACATGCGAATATCTATCCAACAAAGATGACAACAACTTTATCAGCACTGCAACCTGGTCAGACTCCATCATGGATGAAATCAGACCCTCGGAGAGAATGCTATACTCGTTGTCCTTAGAGATATGGTCTGTCCACGTTGAACCCACTCCACAGATTGTGTTCATTCCGTGTCTCCAAATGCCAACCTTGAGTAAGGATAGCACCAAAGATAGCCACATTCCGTCTCTCAAGAAATCCCAGCCTAGTTCCTCCGCGTCCTCAGGTATATGTTTAGCATTCAAGTGCCGAAGTAACCCAAGTACAACTTCAGAAAAATTAGGACACCTGGCAAGGCCATCACAACGACCTAGAACTGAGTGGCTAAAGAAAAAGAAATGTTCCATGTTAGAACTGTCAGGAATCTGTGGGTCACACCATGAAGAAAGCACTTGATCAGATGTAGCGACGGGAGAAAAATCCCAACAAAGCAGAAAAATGTATCTTTCAACAATAAGGTCTTCCACCATGGTAGCTCGGTTACCTTTCCAGAACCCCAGAATCCATGAAATGGCTGAATTAATGTCATTCCAACTCAAGCCCAAGCAGCCAAAGCCCAGAACATCTCTAGAAACTGAAGTGTTAACGTCTGAAACATCAATCAGCTGATTAATCAAGCTATTGATGATCGACTCTTCCTCAAAGCATGCACCCATTACATTCTTTACCGCCACTGAAGCCCAAGATGACAAGTGATCATTAATATAATTAGGAAGATGCGAACATGAGTGTGGGGATTCCCTCAATTTAGAACGGAGTTGTACAAGCAACGATGAAGGACAAGTACGCGCATACAATATCATATGACGAAGCACCAAAATCAACCTTGAAACCAGTAACCCCCAACATGACAATTGTGTTATGTCAAAACCCGATGCAGGAGCATCAATTGCTTTGAGGGAAGAAAATATTAACTTTGAAAGTGTTGCCTTTTCTACGTCAGAAGATAAGTGAAATGCCATAAGAAGAATCTCAATATGAAACAGAGAAGGAAGGGTACCAAGAAGGTCCTTCAGGCTTGGACATTTTAAACAAACAGCTTTTACCTTCTCAACCACAAAACCAGCATATGCCCTGTAAATTTGAGCTCGCAATTTGCTACCAGCTGTACCCACTCTACAGAAAAGAGTGTGAGCAAGCAAGGTTAGGGTCTGATCATTGTAAACAAACGTGTCGTTTTCAATGCTCAGAATTTTCTCAATGAAGTACTCCTCAAGTGAATCAGACAAAGCATGCCGTGTTAGAAGATCTTGCAACAGTTCAAAGCAAATCTCATGGACACGACCAAGCTTTTTCTCTTCATGTAAAGGGTAGCAGCTATCAGAAGTCCTATCATCAGAACAATATCCCAGACATAGAAGTATGGAGAGCAATATATCAATATGATCTTCTTTAAGCTTCGTGCAGCCATCTTCAAAAAGAGAAGAATGCCATTCAGGAGAAAAAATGCACACTTTGAGAAAGTTTAACAGTTCAGTAGCAGCTTCAATGGGAATGTTACAGTGGCTGGAACTGGAATTGACAGCAACAGGTGGCTGATCATTACCATCTAGAGATCCTACAGAGCGACCACTTTCAGAGAAAAGATCTCCAAAAAGTGCTTCATCTTCATGGCAAACTGCATTTTCAAGTTCAGAGTTGCAACTAGTTTTTGCACCAATAGAGTATGATCTCTCCACTTTTGGCTTCAATTTTACCCCCTCAGAATGAAGGAAAAAGATAGCATGCATCAAATTGTCCAGCCACTGATTAGAGGAAGGGAATATCACCTCCAAAAGTTGTTCAAACGTGTATTGCTTAAGCAAAGGAACCTTCTCATTATGAACATGGCAAGACAGCAAATCAGTTTCTGGACCAACACTATCACCAATAACCTCTGCGCCCAACTCCTTCCAACCAAGAGCTCGATTGGTTTGTCGTTTGAGATCATGGATGAGTTTCAACATGTAAATAACACATCGAGGAAAGTAAATGAGTGGAGGCTTCAGGTTGGCAGCAGACTTGTTATATCTCCAAACAGAAGAATCCAAATTCTCTAGTATAGAAGCTACTGTGCAAGCCTGAACATTCAGAAAAACATTGCTGTTGCAGAAAATAACCCGGGCAAGTTCAAGAAATTCTTCCAATACTGAAAGAATAAGACTTTCGAAACTACCCTCTGCAGCAGCATTACTGCTACCAAATTCAAATCCATGTTTAAACAAGTACGGCAGCCTATCAGCAAGCGATGCAACTACTTGGACCAACGAGACATCATATTCAATATATGGAATGTCCTTTGCAATACTTCCAAGTAGCTTTAAAATCCTCAAGCTTAACGCCAGTCTCTTGCGTAAGTTTGTACCAGTCATCTTCTCATCAAACATATCTGGAAATGCCACCAGTTCTCTGCAGACCAAAATCAACCGTTGAATGCATGACATATGAGCAATAGCGCAGTGTTGTGATAAAAAGACCAGTTTCTTTAAGTCTTGCATGAAAACAGGTTCACTCAATCCAGTGGTCTGTCTATCAGCTTGTATGCACTCGGAAGCTAATGACATAAAAAGTCGATCAACCACTTTCTCCTCCCTTAAGCAACTGGCTCCTTCTGAGGACAACATATAAAAAGCACATTATATTGTTAGAATAAAACTAACATGAAACAAACAAAAAATTTCAATCAACCCTTCTTCATACAATCCCATCAACAAAAAAGACTGGAAAAAAAAAATACCTTGAACACTGCACTTAATGCTATTATCAAACTCAATTCCACCAGAACTACCCACGACCAATGGTGACATGTCTAACAGACTATTTACTAACGAAGGTTGCACTGCCTCGGGTACCTTATTTGTTCCATCAATCAAAGCTGTTTCTAAAACCTGTACCATATTATTCTGAAACATTGAATAAAGATTAGACCACCTATACTTATAAGTAAGAAAATTGTACGCATAGACCGGCATGCAAATGATAAATTATGAACTCAAAATCATTAAAAAAAAAAAATCAACACAATAAAAATAAAGCGTTTATTTAAGTGTGAAAACAAGAGGAAGCAGCACAAAAATAACATACAAACTGGCCCCAGACTAAAAGTGTAAAGGCCCCATACCTAAAAGTATTGATCACCAAAGTCTTGTGGTAATATTGCATTAGAAAAACCCTGACTACAGTACTTTCCAGCCATTACAAAATTTTGTTAACAAAATTATAGCTATAACGAACGTGGTGACTAAAATTAGGATATGAATTGTTACAAATCGATTTATTTAGTCCCTCATTTTTTTTTCTTGCTGACTATAAAGTGCTTAGCAAGCGCCTGCTTTCAGTGGCAACCTACCACTATGGACAGTCTATTTTGAGATTGACATGCTTAACACAAAATATGACCCGAACTGACCTTACTTATCAAACATACCAGATTCAGATATTTATATCTTGTCACTACATATATCAGTAATTACAAGTACTTTTATATACTCCATTTCAGCATTTTTGTTGCTCAAAGTAAAAAATAATTGCTTTTATTTCTGTTCTTTTACCGACTAAAAACATAAGCAAAAGCTACCAAACGACCCCATGGTTTCTCATGAAAGAACTTTCGTCCAAAAAAAAAAAAAACAAACAAAAAACAAAACAAGGGAAGTTGTTTTGGAGTTCTGATAAACTTTTTCAGTCATTTCTACAGTCTAAAAAGACAGGAAATAGTAATCCACCAAACAATCCCTAGTAAGTAAAAGTTGCTAAAGAAGCCACAAACCTGAATACTTAAATCATCACCACTGAATTCTGATCTCTCCAAATAACACACAGCAAATTCCACTGACTTTTGTACAACCGCAAGAACAACCGCGTCCACAAGCTCAACTATTCACGGAACCACATCAAAGACATAATAGAAAGTAAGTATACTGATTCCAGAACCGTTCGGTTATCGATTCAATAATCAAACTTATCTCGGTATTCAAAAGCAACTTCAAACACTAATTGAGTAGTTCTTTATAACTTAATTGGTAGTTGATACCGAGCCTTTACAATCTGAGAAGTACTTTAAGATTATAGGAAAGACAAAAACAGCAAGAATAGAACTTTATACAAAAAACCGGGAACCAAAATCAATTTCCGTTACCAAAATCAGCTCTTTGGAAAGAAAAAGGAAGAGAAGCGAAGTACCGGAGAGAGATCGAGAAGCGGAAGCGATCGCGGACGCTAGCGAGCAAACTGCTTGAATCTGTGAGTCGTTCCACGATTGAAGCCCTAGCTTGCCGTCTCCGGAGGCGTCGATGCCGCATTTGAGAATCCGATAGAGCTGCTCGAGGCCCGGTCTGATCGAGTCGTCGGAGCGAAGATTCTGGACGAGATCGATGGACGACAGGGACTTGTTGTCGCTTCTCTCGCTGAAGAGAGCATCGGAGAGTCTGGTCAAGGTCTCCGCCATGGCGACGGAGCAGAGAGAATTTCGATGTCTATTGCATGAAGGAGGGAGAGAGAGAGAGAGTTAAGATGGAAAGACAGGAGTGAAGCTGGCAATTTAGGAGCAAGGAATAAAGGTTTTTTTTTTTTTTTCCCCCCCCCCCCTTGGCGTTGGAGATAGAAGAATTTGTGAGAAAAATAATTAAAAATTAATAAAATGCTATTAGACAATTTTGTGTTAATACAAAAAAAAATATATATATATATCTTATCAGTGTAACGTAATTACATAAATGATCAATTTTTAATTAATCTGAAAAGTTTTATTAAATTTCGTATTTTTCTTAATGGAACTTTCTATATTCTCCTAATAAGAAAGTGCCTCACTTTGTAATCTCCTGGAGAGAAGTGGAGAAGAAAAGAAAATGTTCTTTGCTTTATTGGCAAGAGAAAGTGATTCCAAAGTGTATCTGCTTTCATGAAAGTCTATAAACTGTTGTTTTACTTTGATCTGAAGAACCGAAAATTCAAATTTAGCTGGCAAAGAAGCGCTTGACGAGGAATTGTAATAAGAATAGTAATGAGAATAGTAATATAATAGAATTGGAATGTGTTGAAATCATAAACTGATTATGGAATCAATATCTGAATGAGGATTATACTGTCTGGTTGACAACATAATAGAATAGAATAGAAGTAGATTGTATTTTGACAAAAATACCCTTAATTAATAATCATAAATAATTCAATATTTAATTAATTAAAATAATAACAAAAATAATTTAATTATTGAAAAAAACTATTTATTTAAAAGATAAAATTTAAAAACTAGATTTCAAAAAGTGTGTTTGGTTCGATGGAATGACTTTTAGAATGAAATGATAATTTTTAAAATCCAATTATTTTTATGTTTAGTTGGACAAAAAAACTAAAAATCACTATTCTTATAAAATTGTTATTCCATCAAATAGTTGAATCATTATAACTAAAGTGAACCAGTTAAATGGTAATTTCATTCCAAAACAAATATTAATTAAAATTCTTTCTCCCTAAATTATCCCTTTCAATATTTGAATTTAATTTTAAAACGTTATTAATGAATAAAATGAAGGGGTATTTAAGGAAATATTTATACTATTCCATTCTATTTTAATGACTTACCAAATAAAATAATTGTGATTTCAATATTGATTCTATTGCTCAACGAAACAATAAAATTTGAATAAATCATTAATGTATTCTCATTCTCATTCCATTATTTTTATTTCTATTCATATTCTTATTTCATTCCATCAAATCAAACGTATTTTAAGGGCAGTTTTTTTCACATCTCAAGTTGTAAAGTAAATTTTATGGAAAAATGTTGTAATAAAAAAGTTAAATTTGAATTTTTATAATGAAAAAACGCTTCATCTCGTCAACTATTGATATGAATTTCATTCATCCATGCGCATAAATTATAGGTGTAGGAGTTTTTCTAGTAAGACTAAAATATAAATTATCGATAGTTCTATACTTTCAATAGTCAGTTTGTATAAAACATTATATATTCTACATATATTTTTTAATCTACTCGTTTTTTAACTAAATTCAACGATTAAAAATTGACACGATATAAAACTCCCACTCCCGCCGGGTCCTGTCAAATATATGTAAAGCTCTATTCTTACCTTTTCTTCAGAGTAGTGATAGTCATCACCATTTTACAAATATCAACTTAAGCAAAGCAAAAAAAAAAAAAAAAAAAAAAAAAAAAAAAAAAAAGTCCAATGTGTCGACTCATTTCGTTTGTATCCTAATCGTCAAGTCGCTGTCAAGACTTGGCTCAATCCAAAAGATTACCAGGGGAAAAAGAAACCAGCTATGAACTTTTTTTTTTTTTTTTTTTCTTTTTGTTGCTTGACACAAGCTATGATACTTTACACGTTAAAAAGATTAATCTATCATATCTGTAGCTCAATCTACTCAAGAAAGTGAGAATGCCACCACAAGAATAATCTAGACATGCTAGAGAATGCCACCATTCAATACAAATTGGTCCAAGTGACCAACAAGAAGGGAGAAAAGAAATGCAAAAAGCAACTCTTTTTCCTTTTTGGTGTCCAAGCTCAAGACTTTCTTTGGGCAGCCTCCTTGGCACCTTGTACTGGTTTTGGTCTGAGAAAGAGATTCAGAAATACAATAAAAAGCTATCCTAATATTTATACATGTTAAACAAGCTTTTCTTAAGTCTAGATCTACTAAACTGCCACCATTATCTAAACTAAATTAAAGCCTATCTTCGTTCCTCACCGAGATAAGGCACAAAAAATCAGTTCCTTTGCCTCCGCACTCTTCCCATCAGCTTCGGCTTGCGCTTTCTGCAAAAGTCTCTCCTTTCTTAGCAGCCTTATCCTCAGGTCAACATTTTAGTAACAACTTGCAAAGGTTTGTAGCTCCTGTAACAGAGAAGAAGAAACGAAAATACCACGTCAAAAGAAGTGTTCATCTTCGTAAAGCAATGCTCAACTCAAAACGAAAGTAGAAACTGGTTATATCTTATAAACTAAGCCATATCACCACTAAATACTTTTCTCCATAAATGTTCTCTAATCTAACTCTACAGTTTAAGAAACATGTTAGTCACAGTTTGGGTCATTATAGCAGAAGGAAATTAAGTTGAGAAATTGATTGGGCCTCTTCTGAATCTTGTTCATTAGCGGATGAATCAAAATAACCAAGAATGGCCATTCTTCCACTGTATCGAAACTAGAAGAAAACGTATTAACCCACAAATACGTAATTCAAAAAAAAAAAAAAAAAAAAAAAAAAAAAAAAAAAACCCACAAAAAAAAAAAAAAAAAAAAAAAGAAGAACCCACACATACATAATAAGATAACCTACAAATTGATAAACACATGACATATTCATAACATTACAAACATAGAAAGTAATTCACAAAACACACAAACAGTTCCAAACAAAAGTAAAATCCTGTCACAAACCATAAGTCCTCATAAAGTTTGAATGCAGAAATCGTGATGGCCTAAATCCGGTGATTATGACCCGCCCGTGTTCCTTTGAAAGGCATGAAAACATCCGTCTATTATACTTGCTACTGGCTATCCTGTCGGTTGCCCTCCTGTAACGATCTTCGCTGATGTCTGCCGGTGCTTCCAACAATAAGATGCACCGTTCAATGATCAATGGGTCATCTTGTGCATCTGTCATCTCAATGATGTGCTCCCTTGGACTCCAGACGCTGCTGCAAATCTAGAGTGCATTGCGCTAAAGCCTCACTGCATATACTCAAGAATTTTGGCCAATGACTCCGAAGTGGATTCAATCATTGTTAGGCTCTTCTTCTTGGTGGTGACTCTACTGGTACCCTCTGCAGTTCTAGTATGGCTTGGTTGTCCTCTTCAGGCAATTCATCCAAGTCTCCCTAACCCTCTTCTAGATGCTCGAGGTTCTCGCTCCTCCTCTGAGTTCTGGGTAACCTTATGCGGGCCATAAGCCATCTGACCAGTGGCCACAGTCAGGCCAAAATCTCCCCAAGCACCGTGAAGTGGTATAAACCTTCTACTTTTTTGTACCAGGGTGTCTCTGTCATTGAAAATTTGTACCAGATAGTTAGGGATAAAGCAGACCCACCTGTAAACCATACAAGAAAATCATAAACAGCTGATGTAAATTACACACACCTGCAAAAAAGACTCTCAAACATCATCCGAAGCCATAACGCTGTTAGAAGCAGGATCCCAATCGAACCCGTTATGCTTAACTAACTCCTTAAACTCTCTATAAGCAAGCCTAAGTCTATTACAGGCTGCAACGCTTATTTAACTTCTCTAGGAATTCCTTTTCAATAATCTACCAGGTTTTTTAATCTAGGATTTATAATTGCAACCCTTTTTTTTTTTGCCATGAGGCACGATCATCATTCTTAGCCATCTATAGATGTTTCCAAATGTAAGACCATCTTCAATGCAAATGAATATCAATATTTTATTTAGCACTTAATGTGCGAAATGGCATATTTAATGTATTATTCTATTCTGTGCTCCGATGCTTAATGCTACTTCAAATGTTGTATCAAACAAACAAAAAATTAGATCTAAAGAAAGCATCAGAACCGAGAATTTCATTCACAAAAAACATAACTCACATAAGCAATAAATTCAGCCTAAGCACCATAACATAGATAATTTCAATCACATTAAACACCATTAATCATCATAAGCAATAATTTACGCCTAAGCATCATCATAACAGAGATCATCACAGAGGTAAATCCAATCACAGATACTAAAACATGAACCATAAGCCAAAATTACAATAATCACCATCCTGCGAAAGCACCCACAAGAACCCAAAAAATGGAACAACACACAAATCCACAAAATGCAACAAAAATCCAAATCGAACTCCTGTAATGGAGCATGGATGAAAATTTCACCGATATTTTTGAAATTTCTGGGTGCAAAAGAATTTCTCCGATATTTATGGAAATTTACCAAAAATTTTGAGACTTTTTTACACCACAAAAATATATTGGGACCTTAAAAGTTCTGAAATTTCAATGGAATTTCAAAAAATATCGGAGAAATATTACAAACTTTCGAGAAAATTTCAGTAAATATGGGTAAAGTATCAATATTATAGAGGTCCTAGTGTATTATTTTTGTACAGACATATTATTTACGTATATAGCGAAAGAGATGATACTTACAGGCCATTTCTTCGCAGCTACAGGGGCACTCCCACCTCGTTTGGGAGGCTGCCAAAAATCAAAATCCCAAATTGAGGAAAGCCAAAATAAGAAGGCTTAAATCCAAACAGGACTTCATCCAAATTCTCAATCCGCCATAATTCTCAACTTTACTAAATAAATACAAAATTATGCTTACAACGATTCTCCAAACTACTACGTAACCCAATAATCACTAATCAAACAGAAAATCACACTAAACCAGAACGAAAAAGGTGAAAAAGGAAACAACTCGGAGCTATCACAGAGGCAGGCAATTACCCAAAAAAAAAAAGTCACGAGCTAAGTCATGGAAATTCGTTAAAGATATGATTTTGAACATGAATGTAGAAATAGGTGAAGGAAAACAAGGATTTGGAAATGCCATTTAGGGCAGATTGATACGAACGGGAAGATCGCCGGAGATGGAGACAGCGAACAGCTGATCGCACTCCCGCGCTTTTTCTGACTTCAGAACCTTTAAACCCTAATTTCGACATCTTTTTTTGCAAATAAGTCCCTCTTAGTTTTACATATTCATGAGCTTCGTTCGTTTAATTTGTTTTTTCTGTGTATGAATCCGTGTCTTTACATTCTTTTTGAAAAACTATCCCCGGATTTTTTCCTTTTCTTTTCAGCATCTCCAAGCAAACTCTCAGTTAAAATAACTTTTTAACTAGCAACTTAGGTAAACGACTCTAATCATACTGTTATTTTAACTAAATATAGAATATCTTAATATTTATTGAATTTAAAATATAAAGAATTTTATTAAATTAAAAAAAAAACCTTGTAATAGAAAAAATAAAATAGCTAGCCTCTTTTCGCTAACTATATTTGGCTAATGTGAAATACATACTCCAAAATAGTTAACCACTTGACTAATTGTTGGGGTGGAGAAAAAAACTTCTAACCACTTGACTAATTGTTGGGGTGGAGAAAAAAAAGAAGTTAAATCAGTAGTCATTTGGACTAAAAATATAAAATGTTCAGCATAGAGATGCTATAAGGTAAATATGAGATAAAGAATTCGTGAATCACATGAGAATAAAAAAAGTGTGCGAAGAATAAAATTAAAAAAATTTGATAATTTAAAAATGCACAGTACATGTAATGTGCTTTTGTACTTACCAAAACATTGATGTAGATGCGAACCAATTCAAGCTCATTTTAACGTGTGAAACAATCAAGGATGCATGTGAGACATTGCAAACGACACATGAAGGTACAGCTGCCGTGAGACTCTCTAAACTTCAAATCCTTACTACAAGGTTTGAGAATCTTTGAATGTAAGAAGATGAAACAATTTCTGAGTTTAATTCAAAATTGTGTGATATTGCTAATGAGGCATTTGCTCTTGGAGATAAAATATTAGAGGAGAAGCTTGTGAGGAAAGCCTTGAGGTCTCTTCTACAGAGGTTTGCTTACAAGGTGACAGCTATCGAGGAAGCCAAGGATGTCCAAACAATGAAACTTGATGAGCTAATGGGTTCTTTGCGTACTTTTGAGATGAATCTAGATGAAAACAAGGAAGGAAAGAAGGAGAAAAGTATGGCCTTTCAAGCCGAAGTTGATTCTGATGATGAAGAAGACTTGGCCCAGTCCATAACAAGGTTGTCGAAGAAATTCAACAAGGTGATGAAGAAGGTCAATAGGAAGAATGAGAATTCAAGAAATGGCAACTCCATCAATTTTCAAAAGAGTAAATCTGCAGCAAATAGCACAAACTTGAAGACAAAGAATATATGCATTCAATGCCGAGAGTGCGACATATATGGACACATTCAATCTGAATGTGCCAATACCCTCAAAAAGAAGAAGAAGTCGTTTAATGCAACGTGGAGTGATGAAGACTCTGAAGGCAGTCAGGAGGATGAAGACCATGTGAGTAACTATGTTGCTTTCAATGTTTATACTGATCAAGGTGTTTCTGCAAACAGTGTTACAAAAGGTGTCGCAGACAGTGTTGCAACACTGCCTGTAACAGATTCCGTGAATAGTGAAAATGAATGAGATTTTTCAGATTCTGAAAGTAACAGTGATGGTGAGAAGTTAACTATTGATGCCATACAAGAAGCTTATAAGACCATGTTCAACAAATAGGTTAAAGTGTGTGAAATAAATAAGTCTCTATGGGAGCGCGTCGATGATCTTGTCAAAGAGAAGGATGTGTTGAAGAGAGCTGCTGATAATTATGAATTCCTTGCTGCAGAAAAAGAAAAGAAGTTGAAGGAAACAAGGGCTGAACTGAAGAGTACTCAGAAAAATTTGAAAATGATGAACTCCGGCACCACCAAACTTGTGTTGAGAATGGTGTCCTAGAAGCATGAGATGCAGTAGGATATTTATTATTTATTTAATAAAAGAGTTTATTCATTATTTTATGTGCATATATTTATGAATATTTTATGAATATCAATGAAAATTTCATGATTATTTATGTAACCTTAAACATTGTATATAAGTGTTATATACGAGAGGATAATGTTTAAGGATAATAATCAAAAAGCAATATTCATAATGAATTTAATTAAAGTTCAGAATCTTTAATTAAAACATTATTAATACATGTCATTCCCATTTAGAATGGAACGGTGTTATCCGCACTGTTAATATGGCGAGATATTGAATGAGTGTATTTCGCATAATGAGATTATGTGGAACAAGGACACAGACACAATATGAATTTCTAATAATTCCGTTAAGTATAGAAATTCTAATTGAGTCTACCGATGGTCATATATAGGATGATCTTAATCATGAGTTCTTAACAGACTCCTCTTTACGGATTTGTGTCTTTTGATTTACTCGGTACGGATTCTGAGATCCTGAATCCTATTCCTTGTATTTTGGAGACATGATGAAGTAGGTAGCTGAGAATGTTATTATAAGAGATGAAATCCATTCCTTCTTAAGAAAGAAGTAGATAAATAATTCTCTTGAGGGTTGATTCGGTACTTGGACCAGTAGGAGCTCCGATTCATGAATGTGTTTTATGAATCACTGTCCATTAGAGAATCAATGG